GATTGGCGGATCGCTTTTCTGGGGGTAATAATTCCTTCAAAAATATTAATAACAATAAATTGTTCACTCAATCCACGACTGTTGTGGGACACTGCTGTGTGCAATTGGCTGCCGCATTTTGCCCGCAGAATATACAGTAAATTTACTTTACGGCATATTCTGCGAAGCGCTTTGAGACATCTCAAAGACATGATAAGGCACTACATCAAATGCAAGGATTATTATTATGATCATTATTTTCAGGTCATGCCTGAAGACCTTCCTATTCAACCGTGCTTACGGTCATTTTGCCCCAGCTCAGCATCATGCTCCGCCACTGTCAAGTGCTCTGGGATGCTACCCTGCATGAAGGGCGCTACATAAATAAAAGTTGTTTTTGTTGTTGAGATGTTAACTGTTCAGATCCCATTGCACAATTTGAAAAGAGAAGGGAGTTGCTCTTTGTGTTCTGGCCAACAATTCTGCAGATGAAATTAAGCATTCACTTCATGGCTAATTATGGGACTCGGTGTATCAATTGGCTGCCATGTTCACCTACAAAATACACAGTCACTACATTTTACAGTAAATCTTGTGAATCTTAGAGATGTCATTTAGACATAAAAGGTGATGATATCTTTTAAAGGATTATTATTACATCATTTTTAAATCTAAAATCTTGAATGCACTAACAAAACAACAACAACAACAAATTGCATTGATATAGCTCCTTTCATGTCAGGAGGCTGTCCCAAGGCAATAGACAGTCAAAGGTTAGCATTCAAGCTGGTGGTTAGATTTGGGCATAGTGAGGACCAAGCAGAGTGCGATTGGAGGGAACAAAGTGACAGAAGGTTGGAGTTCCCAAGGGCGGTAGATATACTGAAAGCCCAACTGCCGATAGTGGGGCAGGCAGCCAGGGGATGGAGGGAGCCTGTAGATTAATATGGTTTAAGGAGGTCACAAAGATAGGTTGGGGCAAAACTGTGGAGAGATTAAAAAGCGAGAATTAGGATCTTGAATTCCTCCTCTGAGGAGTAGGGAGGGGGGCAGTGGAGCAGAGCAATGATGGGTTAGGTTCATGGAACCTAATGTGGGAGAGCACACAAGCTGCAGAATTCTGGATGGTCTGCAGCTTGTGGAGGGAAGAGTTGGCATCTACAGCTTTCAGAGAATTGGTGTGGATGTGATCAATGTATGGATATGGGCCATGGTACCCAAAGGGAGAGATAGTGGCTTAGATGGGCAATGCTACAGACATTCGGAAAAACTGAGTGTGTCAGAGTTTGAAGGGCAGTTGAGTCAATCAAGTCACTGAGATTCTGCATTGCCTCAGTGCATCTGTGTAGATTGATGCTATCAGCACCTTAGGTTAGAAGAATCTTATAGGTGCCCAAAGGAGAGCATCTATCTTGTCGGCATTCAACTGGAGAAAGTTAGTTCTCATCCAGGACTTGATGTCTGACAGCCAATTAACCAGAACAGCTGTATAGCTGAAATTGAGGGTGGAGGCAGAGAGATAGTGTTGGGTGCCATCCGCATACATGTGGAAGTTAACCCCATTCCTTCAGATGACATCACCAAGTGGAAGCATGTAGATATTAGAGGAGAGGGCTGAGGACAGAGGCGCATGTGATGGTACAAGATCGGGCGGAGAAGCCGTTGGCAGATAGGAAGTGGAGAAGTTGGGGTAGGTAAAATTGAATCCAGGAAATAACAGAATCGTGAAGAGAGGAAAGGTGGTGGAGAAGGATAGAGTGGTCAACATTGATGGTGATATCTAAGATGATAAAGCCCCAAGTAATCACCAAGTCAAGGGGATGACCATGGATGTGGTTGATGGAGTTAAAGTGAAGGGAGAGATCAAGAAAAGAGAGAAGGGAGGCTAAGTCAGCAGAGATGGAGCAAGAAGAAATAAAATGGAGGTTGAAGTTACCCAAGACGAGGAGGCGTTTGGAGTAGAGGCTGAGGGAAGATAGAGGGAGGAGATGTTGGAGAGGAAAGTGCTGGAGAGTTTGCAGGGAGCAAAAGATGAGGGGAATTTTTAGGGAGAGATTGGAGAAATGGTAAAGAGTGACGTGTCAAAGGAGACGAATGAGGGAAGACACAACATGTAGGTCCAACACTAAGTTTCAGAAGAGTAAGGGAGAGTATTATATATTTTGGAGATAAGTAGCAGATAACTAACAAGCTTTGGTTTTAAAAGGATTATTGGAGGTAAAACAGTTTCAACATCTTGAAATCTGGTAAAGAATGGGCATCAGAGACTGTTTTTGATTTGAATTCAGAGATGATTCAGGAAAGAGGAAGAGAATGTATGGTGGATAGTGAAGCTTTGCAGAAACACAGAAGGAAAGTTTAAAGGAACAATGACCTTAGCAATATTAACAAAATAGCAAAAATATAAAAAGGTTATGGTTGAGAGAATGAGAAAGAATGGGGTCTCGGGTAGAGAGATGGGTTTATTTGTAGGATAATATGCTTTTCTAACATGTCCAGAGTACTGTGAAAGGGGCTAGAAAGACCACTTCAAATGTTGGAACAGTATTCAAGTCTTGGAGACAATCAGGCTTTATAGATTTAAAAGCTGTTGAGGGTGAAATAATTGTACAGCATGAAAGGAGAAAGGGACTTCCTTGGGAGTCCTTCACCAATTTATTAAATGGAAAAGTTCTTCTAAGATAAGGGGATAGTGAGGTCATGAATGTCAATTGATGAAGGATTAAGTCTGAAGCTGTGTCTTGCAATTGGCAAAGACGTGCAGAAACTGCATATTTGAATTGTGGAAAAGAAACAAGATTTTCATTGTCTTATTGAATTGCATGCTTCAGTAATTTAGCCATTGCTTGTTAAATGGGATGAAGCAATCAGAAGGAAATTGATGCATGTAGAATGGAATCATCAACAAAAAGCTTCCAAAACTTCAGAAATCCAATAATCCTTTGCAAGAAAGGCAAAGGACTAATATGACAGATGAATTAAGCAGACATCATATGAGAAACAAAATAAACAGACACAAGAACCATTGGATGTAGTATCATATCTTTGAACTTTGAAGGAGAGCTTCATTAAAATCCAAATACAAAAAACAATCAAACAACTAGGTTGTCAATTAAACATGAGAAAAGGAAATGGCAAACAGAAAAGTGTGAACAAATAAAGAGGTGACATAGAGACTGAGGGCACAAAACAAAAAGGCATTGAGATCAGATGGATTATTCTCCTTGGGGTGCCAGTTAGCAGGCTCCCTTTGGAGCTGAACTGGCTCCAAGTTGACATGCATGGCCAACAGAATGTTGGAATAGAGCCAACCTTTAGTGCTAGTCTCACTAATCTGGTTCCTAAGGAAGGCTGTTCCTTTATATTCCAGGGCACTGTTGATGACAGATCAGCCAGCCTGGCTCATCGGTAGGACTTGGAGTGGCAGGGCTTGGAGGGCTAAATCATTAATTGGGGGCATGGATTTTTCCACTCAGCTCCTATTAACCCCTCAAGCTGGCATCCCAAGGAGAATAATCCATCTGATCCCAATACCTTTTTGTTTTGTGCCCCCAGTCTTTCAATAGCAGGCCTTATATTTTTCTCAAAGTTAAACTCCAGTAGTACCATAACACCCACTCCTGGTTGCTCAAGCTTTGGCTCATGCAAACCTGCACCGACTAGCCTCTACTTACCTTCCAGAATTAGGTTAGCACAATGCATCCTAGGGAAAAAGAGTATATTCCATTCCAAACAGAGGATGTTCCAAGTGTACATGGCATACATGAAACTCTCAGTCTGGTTAGGACACTCTTAACCATGGTGATGGGTTTCCATGTGTGTTAAACATCCAAATGACCAGAAAAATCAAGTGAATTACATGCTAGAGTATTTAGGAAAGCAACTCTTAAAATCAAGCGTATTCTTATCTTATATTTGTTATCTTCAGGAAATTGCTGGTAGGGAGAGTATTGGAGGGCAGAAATTGTTTTACTCTCTGGCCTCTTTTTCAGACTTTGCTACCTTGTGGAATTCACACTTAGCTCTTTTGCGATGTTACACACAAGTTAACTGGCTTTTGATGTTTGTAGCCAGGAGTCACAAATAGCACATCAAAATGGCTGAAGAGAAATTCCACCTAGGTCTAGGTTTACTCATTGATGTTGTATTTTTGAAAGTCCAGGATTTGGCAAATTTTTAAACGTAGGTTTTATTTTAAAGTTGTTTTTTCTGTACATGATCTTTCATCAGAATCCAGTTTGGATGAAGGTCATAGACCTGAAACGTTAACTCATTTTCCTCTCTCCATTGGTGCTGCATGACCTGCTTCATGTTCAAAGTGACTTCTGTTTTTATTTCAGATTTCCAGCATCTGCAGCATTTTGATTTTTGGTTTTCTGTACGTTCTTTGAAGAATTACAGAAAAGGTCTTTCAAAGTTCAAACTCAATTCAACAATTTGCTAAATTCTGGATGGTCTAAAATGCTAATAAATAGGGCAAATGTCAACTGAGGTGGAATCCTGTAGATTAGTGGTTAGAGCACTCGCCTTGCAACTGAGGACCAAGATTTGATGGGTAGGGCAATATGTTGGGCAATTTTCCTTTCTCCACATGCCTCTGCTTAGTAGGAACCCGGTTGTCAGACGATTGGCGCATCACGTTTCCGCCAATCAAAGGGTATTAGTTGCTTCAAAATAAATTAAAATAATTTGGTCATTCAATCCACAACTTTTTGTGAGACACTGCTCTGCACAATTGGCTGCCCCATTTCACACACAAGATATACTGTCAATTCACTTTATAGTATATTCTGTGAAGCACTTTGAGACAGCTTGAAGATGTGATAAGGACCTATATCAGATACAAGGATTATTATTATTAATAATCTCTCTCCAGCATTTAGCAAATATCACAAATTGGGTCCTTTTGTGAAAAAGTTAGTTAAAATAATTTCCTTTCGGAGCAATTTTCCAGATTTTCATATAACAAATGTTTTACCCTATGGAAATTATATGAACCCTTTCTTTTCTGTTTCTTTCAGTGGGATCTAGTCTGTGACAATGACTGGAAAGGGCCAATGTCATTGTCCATGATTTTCCTCGGAAACCTATGTGGTGCAATAATCTCAGGACAAGTATCAGATAGGTAAAACTACAGTTCTTATAATGAATAAAAAATATATTGCAAGATGGAATGTAATTTTTGGGGCTTAATGTTGAAAAGACGGAAGCCATACGCCTTGGCACCCACTTACTTGTTCTCATCTGTGGCTCCAACCTCCTCAGCCTATCTCTCAGATTGACTGAACTGTGCATAACCTAACCTATGACAGGTATCCTCACCTGCACCAAACTCCATACCCCATGTCACCCTAGTCCTTGCCAGGCTCCAATGGCTCTTTGATGTACAACAGATCAATTTCAACATCCTAACACTTGCATACAGATCAATTCATGCCCAGATCACTTTAACTCCCTACCTCCCCAAGCTGGTTACACCCACTCCACTACATGCCACCCTTGCTCAGCTGGCTGCATGTCCCTCATCCTCTCCGCACCATCATCAGCAACTGTTCTTTCAGGTTTCTATGGAATTATCACCCTCAATCACACTGCCTTGCCGCCTCCTTCCCCATCTTCAGATCACACCTGAACACCTTCCTCTTTGACTGTGACTATGGTCACCTCCCCCCTCACCCAGCTTGGTGTCCTCCTCCACCACAGTTAGCCACTCCAAGATCCTACCCCTCATGAAGAGTGCTGTATAAATGCATTTTGTTATTGTTGTAAATGTTAGGTGGATGATATTTGGAATCTGCATGCTGCAGACATATGACTGTGTGAAATATATGAACTCCTAAATTGTTGTTCTGTAAAGAGACAATAACTTTTCAATTCTGTTGGGACTGGGTTAATTGCATCTAAATATTTGCTCAGAAGATATTCCTCAGGTCATCTCTCTGTCCTCGCTCGCCTCCACCGGCTCCCCATCCCCCAGAGGATCGAATTCAAGATCCTCATCCTCACCTACAAGGCCATTCACGGCCTTGCTCCCTCCTACCTCTCCGACCTACTATCCCCCTACCTACCTGCCCTTACCCTCCGTTCCTCTGACTCCGGTCTGCTCCACATCCCCCGCCCCAACCGCCCTACCATCGGTGGCCGGGCCTTCAGCCTCTCAGCCCCTAGGCTCTGCACCTCTATCCCCCAGTGCCTTCGCCGCCTCCTCCCTTTCCTCCTTCAAGGCCGGTCTCAAAACCTTTCTCTTTGACCGTGCCTTCAGCTCCCCTCTCGACTCTCTACCCCCTCCTCGCTCCCTCCCTTCCCTCCCCTCACCCTGACCATTTCCCCCCTGCTCGGGTCCTGACCCAACTGTACAGTGCCTTGGGACGTCCTCCCGACGTGAAAGGCACTCAATAAATGGAATCTTGTTGTTGTTGTTGTTGCATTTGCAACCCCCTCCCAATGGGACCCAGTGCACAACTAGACACTATGAGGTGAGGATGTTGGATATACATATTAATATGATTTCATCCAGAGGAACCATAGCAATTACAATTGGCCTAAGCACCCCTGGGCGAGGGAGAGAACAAATCAGCTAAAGGTTATTCTCTCCATCACTGTCTAGTGATCCTTTTGGGAATTGTGGACATCTAGTCAAGACTACATTATGACATCGCCAATGGTTCAATGATAATAATACTAATAATAACACTTACATTTCCCATAGCACCTCTCATGTCAGGAGGATGTCTCAAAGGGCTTCCCAGGATTTACTAAAGTGTAGTGACTATGTATTTTCCAGGAGGATGCTGACAATAGCCCACTAACACATACTATCTCGGCACACACTTGAAGAATAGACACTTGGTAAGGTACTGGTGGATAGGTAAAGTCCATATAACTATAAGAGTCACCTCCTTCAGGAAGATAGGAAAGAACACTGGCCAAAATTCAAAGAAACAGAAAAGAATGTAAACAAAGAGGAAAACTACTTCAGAAGATCAGGAGGGAAAATTGGCCAAAAATCAAAGAAACTTAAAAGAATGTAAACAAAGAGAAAAACTAAATGGAAAAGAAGACATAAATATCACATTATTTATGGAATTAATATAATCCTGGAACAGGACCCATTACTTAAAGATTCTCCAATAACTTACTGGCTAATATTAGATTTGTTTCAATGTAGTGCGAGCCATGAACCACGATTGTACATCTCCCATTTCCCAGTCATACTGACTAACGGGCTACGTAGAGTTCTTTCCGCATTTGATCCTCTAGCATTTGCTTGTAAGAATTATGTAGAATCTAGAGACAAGTTTTGTTAACAGCTTGTCTTCCATTCACAATGCCTAATAAGTGTCAGGTGAAAGTATCCCAATTACGTACATTGTCCAGATACAGTTTGGAGGCCAACTTTGGTGTCTTATTATAGAAAGGCCCATCAAAGGCTCAGCAGAGGCACAGAGGATGGAAGGTTATAATTATTAATATCTTAGTAGTTGTGTTAAAACAGAGTATGAAAGCATGGATGTCGTTATGGTTACCAGGTTGCCACTGGCATCACTTCCTGTGCATTGAACGCACATGCGATATCAGGAAATGTCATTAATGCCTCTTCCTGTATGCTACAAATATCTTACATGCAGATAGTGATGTCAGCAGCTAATTTTAGTGCAGGAAGCCAGCAGGTCTGTGCTGGAACTCAGAAGTGTGCTGTTCATCTGGAAACCACGGGTCCACAGCAACCCGCCCCCCCACCACCCCAACATTAAAAATGAACCAGTGCTCTAGTGAGGCGCTTGATAAGGGTTGTTCTGTATCACCAGAAGAGCAAAATCAAGGCCACAATACATGTTCTCACATATAGGGTTGTTAGAACATGAAGTTAACTTTTGGATAATTTTGAATCTTGCAATATTTTCTGTTAAAGATTAAAAATATTACTGTACTTTTTTATTGTTTTATAGGTATGGAAGAAAAGTCGTTCTCTTTGGAGGCATTGCAATGCAGACAATCTTAAGTTTCATGCAAATGGCCTCAAGTAGCTGGGAGATGTTCTCCATATTGTGCTTTTTCATTGGAGTTGGAGATATTTCGAATTATGTAACTGCTTTTGTTTTAGGTAACTTTGTTTTAACACTGGTAGCATTCCAAACAATTACAAATGTACAAAAGAACTTTTAGAATTCATACATCTTACATATACACGTGTGGCAGCCGTGCTCAGTTGGTGGCTCACTCTCTTCTGCGATAGAAGCTTGTGGGTTTAACCCAATTATGACTTTAAACTCCCAGTCTAGACTGACACACCAATGGAGACGCAATCTTTAATATGAGATATTAAATCAAAATACTGTATGCCTGTTCCATGGCACTATTTCACTTAATCTCCCTTAACTCCTCAATCCCTCTACTCACCATCACCCAACCTGACCGGTCCTGGAAAAAAATCTCCCCACCCCCCCCCCTCGTCTCAGCTGCCTTGGAGTCATCTGAACTCCTTCCCTTCTGGGCTTCCTCCCGCAATGACCTAACCTCCTCGGTCACTCTTTGTCCCAGCTCCCTCTCCTCCACTCTCGATTCCCTTGCCACCTTCTCTTCCCGAGTCATCTCTTATTCACATAAGTCACCATGGTATACCAGCCACCTCCACTCCCTTAAAGCACAGGTGCGTGCCGCTGAGCTCACCTGGCTTAAATCAAACTTAACAGCCCATTGGTAGATCTGGCTGGAACATATCAAATCTTACCGCTCCGTTCTCACCTCCGCTAAATCGTCGTTCTACTCCAAGACAATTTTGGAGGATAAGGACAACCTAAGGCTTCTCTTCTCCATCATGAACTGGCTCATCCACCAATCCTCTCATGCCTCACCCATCCTCACCTCAAATGCTTACTGTGAGGCAATGCTGGACTTCTTCGAATCCAAAGTCTAGAGAATCTGCTTAGCTGCCTCTGCCACTGTATCTGCTACCCCCACCCCATCGCCCTCTCACAGCCCAGCCCCTACACATCCTTCCCTCCACACCTTCGAACCTGTCTCCCCCTCTTCTCTCATCACCATTATAACCCACATGAAACCGATCACCTACTCCCTCGACACCATCCCTACCTCTCTCCTTACCTCCCAGTTCCACCTCCTTGCCCCTTACTCACAGAAATCATAAACTTCTCCCTGACCTCTGATACTGTTGTTACCCCATTAAAAACTGCCGTCATCAATCCTACCTTTAAAAAACCCTCCCTGGTCCCAGCTCTACTCCCAAACTACCTCCCCATCTCCAACCTCACTTTCCTCTACAAGGTCCTGAAACGAATTGTTGTTTCTCAGCTTCGATCCTACCTCTCCAGCCATTCCCTTCATGAACCCCTGCAATCAGGTTTCCGTGCAGCCCACAGCACAGAAACAGCCCTGGTCAAAATGACAAATGACATTCTGTCCATCTGGGACCAGGGCTCCATCTACCTCCTCATCCTCCTTGACTTCTCTGCTGCCTTCAACACCATCGACCACTCTATCCTCATCCACCACCTCTCCTCTCATCTCAATCTTCACAGCTCTGTCCTTGACTGGTTCAAATCACCTCTCACACCACCTCCACTATCTTTCCACACATGGCTTCTCCTCTAGCCCCCGCACCGTCTTGTGCGGTGTTCCACAGGCCTCCATCCTTGGTCCTTTCCTCTTCAACATCTATATGCTCCCTCTTGGTGACATCACCTGCAGTCCTGGGGTCAACTTCCACATGTATGCGGATGACACCCAACTCTACCTCTCTGCCTTCACCCTCGACTCCAGGACCACTGCTGTCCTGACCGAATGTCTGTGAGACATCAAGTCCTAGATGAGAGCTAATTTTCTCCAATTAAATATCAACAAGGCCGAGGCTCTCCTGATTGACTCCTGTCAGCACCTCCTCACCTCAGGCGCTGACAGTATCACCGTCCATGGTTGCACATTCAACCTTACTAAGCCAGTCTGGAACCTTGGTGTCTTATTTGACCCATAACTATCCTCTCTACTCCACATCTGCGCCATGACCCGCTCTACCTTCCTCTATCTCCACAACATTGCCCGGCTCTGCCTCTGTCTCACACCGCAGGCCGCCGAAACCCTCATACATGCTTCCATTACATTGAGCTTGACTATGCAAACTCATTGCTTGTTGGCCTCACCAACTCCTCCCTCCATAGGCTGCAGATCAGCCAGAACTCTGCAGCCCGTGTCCTCTCCCGCAATAGGCTCCGCGAACCTATTAGCTTCATCCTCGTCTGACTCCACTGGCTTCCCATCACACAGAGGATGCAGTTCAAGATCCTGGCCCTCACCTTCAAAGCCCTCCATGGTCTTGCTAGCACCTACCTCCGTGACATCCTAACCCCCTACCATTCTGCTCACTCTCTCCACTCAGCGGGCTCCAGCCTGCTTCATGTCCCTCACCCCACTTTTGGCAGGTGGGCCTTCTGCCACTCTGCCCCCATACTCTGCAATTCCATCGCACAGTTCCTCTGCCACGACCCTTCCCTTGCCACCTTCAAGACGCATCTGAAGACCCTACTCTTGACTGTGCATTTGATCTCCCTGCTTCCCCCCCCCCTCCACCCTCCCTGACACCGACCCCCAGCTCGGGTCTAAAAGTCTGTCTGTTCAGCACCTTGGGACATCCTCCTGACGTGAAAGGTGCTATACAAATGTAATTGTGTTGCTGTATTTGAAAAGGAAGGAATTTCTCCTTGTGGCTGAACTAAAATTCCCCCAGAGAAAATTGGTCACTGTGAGGCCATTTGTAGTACAATGGTTGATGGGATATCTACAAACACATTGTATTGTGCAAATTGACTGCCGACTTTGCCTGCAAAATACACAGTCACTATATTTTACAGTAAATCCTGTGAAGCACTTTGAGATGTCTCGACAAGAGATGTTCCTAGAAAGCCTGTGCCTCCTCTTTGATTGCTCCTTCTTCATATGCAGATAATTCCCACCATTAGAACAGATTCACAACCTGATATAATAACTGTCATGCACCAGTGATGCTGTTCTGACTCATTGACTGTCAGACTTCAACTCTTCACCTCATGGAACCTGTTCAGAGTATTGGTGTTTTGTTGAACTCTCATTTGATATGAGGCTTATCACATCATGAAGACATATCAAAGCACTCCACAGGATTTTACTGCAAAATGTAGTGACTGTGTATTTTGCAGGCAAAGTCGTCAGTCAATTTGCACAATGCAATGTTACACAAACAGCCATGAAGTGAATGATCAATTTTATCTTGGGGTTGGACGGTCAGGACACCAGGCAAACCTACCAAGTTGTTAATACTGAGGGAATCCACACAATGCATTGCTGAAGGCTTTCTAGTCATGACACCCACTGATCTATGTGAGCACAGAAGTGTGGACATCTGTAAAGTTTGGAATCCACTCCATCAAACATGTCTGAAATTGTTTTCTTACAGAGCATTTGGATATGCCATGGCACCATCTTGGAATGTAATTGATCTCTACACTTCCATTATGTGTAGCAGAAGTGGAGTCCTGTAGCTCAGTGGTTAGAGCACTCGCTTTGCAAGTGAGAGACCTGGATTCGATTCCCAACGGGGTGAAACCTTGGGCGAGTTTCCTTACTCCACACGCCCGATAATAATCCCTCAAAAAAAACAATAATAAATTGTCATTTCAATCCAGGACTGTTTGTGGGACACTGCTGTGTGCAATTGGCTGCCACATTTCACCCACAAATATACAGTCAATTCACTTTACAGTATATTCTGTGAAGCGCTTTGGGACGTCTAGAAGACGTGAAAAGCGTTATATCAAATGCAAGGATTATTATTATAAGAGTTTTTTTCAATATTCTTCACAGCTCCATTTTCAACAGATGCCACCGATTTACATCTATACCCAAATTATATGAAGCAAAATTTGTGACTGTTTGTGGGACACTGCTGTGCACAATTGGTTGCTGCATTTCACCCGCAAAATATACAGTCAATTCACTTTACAATATATTCTGTGAAGCATTTGAGTCATCTCAAAGACGTGATAAGGTGCTAAATCAAATGCAAGGATTGTTATTATTATAGGTGTGTAGACAACCTCAAACCCACCCAACAGCAACTGGTCCCTCACCATAATCTATCACTGATATTTCTTCCTCATCAGCACTCACTGAGATTACATCAAATATCAGCAACTTGTTGCTAGTGTGTCACAGGAATCAGTATTAGGATTGCTGTGGTATTTTTTTCTTGCAAATAAATTGAATGTTGCAATCATGTCAAAGGCAACCAAATTTGTAGTGGCAAATCAATTGTTTTTTCAGTGAGTTAACACATGCACAATGGACTGAATGGCTTCTTTCTGTATCAATACTCTTTACCAGGGGTAATAATCCCTTTAAAAAAATGAGGTCACTCAATCCATGGCTGTTTGTGGGTCACTGCTGTGTGCAATTGGCTGCCTGGTTTCACGCACAAAATATACAGTCAATTCACTTTACAGTATATTCTGTGAAGCTCTTTGAGATGTATAAATCTGATGTAAATTGTAGCATTAGTTTCACATTTGTTTTGTTATAATTTTGTGAATTAATGTGATAATGAAACCTCAGAAATTGCATTAAGAAGTTTTATTAATGGGTTTTGATCATGAATTGTATTTTAATTTAATTATTTTAATTTCTCTTTCCCTTTCACTATCCAGGAGCAGAACTGTTCAGCAAATCTGTGAGAATCACTTTCACAGCACTTGGCATCTGCTTGACATTTGCCATAGGCTATGCTATTTTACCTCTTATCGCCTATTTTGTCCGAGAATGGAAACTATTAATACTGGCATTGTTTCTGCCAGAACTTCTGTTTTTCCCTCTGTGGTGGTAAGTTAATATTTCCATTTAATATTTGCCTCCTTATTCACAGTTTTTTTTGTTATTAACAGAGAAAACTATTCCCTCTGCAGGTAAATGATTCGTCCCCTCAAAGTTGGAGCATTTAGGAGGAACTACTTTATGCACAGGGTAGTGAGAATGCAGAACTCACTGCCTGAAGCAAACAGTACAGGTGCAATTTAGAGAAAGCTAGATATACACAGGAGGGAGAAGGGAATAGAAGGGATGGAAAGGCATAATGAATGGGTGGAGACTGATGTAGAGTCCAGCTTGGCTCGTTAGGCCAAATGGCCTGTTTCCATCCTGTAAAGTCTATGTAAATAAAACTAATAACTACAGAAGCAAATAGTTTAAAGAACTTCAAGATGAACAGATAAAAAGAAATGATGAAAAGGTGAAAGAAGGAACTGAATTCAACTAAAAAGGATTCAGCGTTTTTGGACCTACTCTTCCAGGTTTGATAATTGTTCAATTGAGAAAAGTAACTGCAGAACATGTCATTACCATTACTGTAGCATGTTGAAATGTTATATGAAACACATAGGTGCTATAAAATACAATTATTTTTAGCGGCACCATAGAAATTGCAAGGCTCCACTGATTTTAATACATTTGTGTAAATTGTAAAACACCAGATTGCTAAAATCAGTGACTGAAATTCTGTTAATTTTTCCGAAACTCTTGAACTTGCTGTCTGAATCCTTCGACCTTCTCCCCTCTTTGCCAATCTTCAGATCGCACCTGAAGACTTTCATCTTAGACCGTGCCTAAGATCATCTCCCCTTTCTCCCTGGCTCAGTGTTGATCTACACCACTATTAAGTACTCCAAGAAGCTACCCCGTGTGAAGGGCACTATCTAAATGCAACTTGTTAATTTAAAGAAATTCAGAAGCCTTTCTACACAATTGTCAATTTCAGTATTTCATTAATCAATTCAGTCTTCTGCCGTGTTTATTGAGAAATCTTTCTTAAGCTACATGCACATTTTTGCAGGTTTATACCTGAGTCTCCCAGGTGGCTGCTATCTCAAGGCCGAGTGGAAGAAGCAGAAGCCATTGTGAAAGCTGCTGCTAAGAAAAATGGCATTAAACATGTTGGGGAGATATTTCAGCGTAGCGATAACATGGTGATTATTCTTTATTGTTATATCTGGTGATTATCCTTTATTGTTTCTGTCTTATGTTGTGAGACAGGGTTTTGTTATAAGACACATCCTTCCTCGGATCTCTTCTCCCTCTGCACTTCTATCCACAGCAATCCTGATGCAGCCATAAAGCTGCTAAACGATCGCCTCTCTGCAACCCTCACTCCTTTGCCCCCTGGAATCTAGTTCTGTCTCCAAATCTACCCACTTCCTCTGGTGTAAGAGTTACCTCCACCTCATCAAAACTAAAACCTGGTCACTTGAGTGCAGATGGCACAAATCCGGCCTCACAATCCATCACCAGCTATGGTTCGAGGTTCTGCACAACTACTACCTCTCCCCCTTGCAGGCCAAAACTGCCTTTTACTCCAAAACCATTTTGGAGGCCAAAAATAACCCAACAGCACTGTTCTCCACTATTTCAATGAAGAGACACCACTGAATAAATGGTGATTTTCCTTAACTGTTTTTATCTCATGTTGGTAATTTAAATCAAAATCTGGAATAATTTACATATTTTAAGAATAATTGTCTTTTATGCTATATTTCTCTATAAGCAGTGTACACATGGAGTAAAGAGTGCCACCAATTTTAATAACTAGAATCTTTTGCAAAAGGTTATGCTGCCAAAGTAAATAATCTCTAAGATAATTGAAAGGTCTGGACCTTCTATTCCGGAACTTCTGAATCCAATGAGCATAACTTTCATGTGAATTTGCAGCCCTTAATTTTGAAACCATTTTCTGTAAATTTCTTTTAAAAACTTACAGAAAATTGTTTTCAAAGTTAAAACTGGATTAAAAGTTCAATTTGCCAATTTGCAATCCATCTGGGGTATCCTCCTAATGTGAAAGGCGATATATAAATGTAAATTTCAATTATATTTTAATTTGTAAATTCTGCACACTCTGGAATGCTAAGTTAATTGAGTAAATCAAAACCAAGGTTGAATTTCTACCCACTTCTCCTCCACCATCTTTGTGGCATCCACAGAGATTCAACCAATTAAGATTTTAGTGTTCTAACTGCACTGAAAGAAACAAGGATCAACAATAAGAGATCAAATGTTATTTATATGGGTCCCAGCTTTCACTCATGTTTTATATTATTTTGTCATGCACACTGTTTCTGCTGAGATTTATTTGAAACAACTAGTCCCTGAGATATTGTAGGATATGCTACAGTTGATCAGGAACCTACACATACTTTCAATCATTTTTGCATAAAAGGTTGGATATAGTAAATAGTCTGCTTAATGTAGAGGTGGTTCTATTTACGAATTTTACATTATATGTAGAATATCATATCACTTGTTTATTTTACACTTTTTTAGGTTTTGAAATCCACGAATAAACTGAAAAGTAAACACAATTACGTGGATTTGGTTAGAACTTTCCACGTAAGGATAATCACAGTCATATCCCTCCTTATATGGTGAGTAGAGACTTTATCAGCAAAGAATTCTCATTAATATTAATATGTATATATTATATCATTAAGTCATTCATATTAACCTGTATATATGTTATCTGTATTGGTCTTTTGGTATTTAGTCTATTTTGTGTAAAGCAGATGTAGCATTAACTTCTTAACTGCTAACAAAGGAAATTCTGCTCCAATTAAATTGTCATTAAATTGTGTTCACAAGATCGTGAGAGAAATGTTAATGAAATATTTGTGCAGAAGAAGAAAAACATTGGTCCTGGAAACAAAGAGGATCTGATTTCAATATCTGTTGTCAAGCCATAGGAAAATATCCCCTCTCTCTCTGGATCATGTATTGCAAGGCAGAAAGCCCAACAGAAATTTCTGGGCTACTTCTCAAATTCTGTGAACAGGTGCCTCCCTTCATTGCACCTACCACAGATTTACAGAATGCACGTTGATGGCATTTGAAAGGTCAAAGCCACCAAACAGAACAACATGATAATATTGCATAAGTTTGAGTGATTTCGCCAGGCTTATTTCAAGGAGCAGGATGTTCTGTTCTCAATCTGATCACATGTTTGATCAGGAACCAGCAACATTCCTCCTCTCAAAAGTTGTTGATGATCAAAATTGTTTTATGTCCCCTTAAGGTCAGTGTGAGATGTTTGTGCGATTGGTATTCAGTTTCACAGGTCATAAAACATAATAAATGAATTACATGAATGTAATGAAAGGCACCAAGCTCACCAATCACTTTCTGTAGTTGTCTCTTCACTCCACCAGTAATCTGTTTGCCTCAGGCCATTAAAGGTGGACTTCCTTTAGCATATTGGTTAGAGCACTCGCCTCCCAAGCGAGAGGACCTGGGTTTGATTCCTGCGCAGGGTGAAACATTTAGCAAGTTTCCTCACTCCACACGCTCTGTTTACCTATCAGTAAGTAGGAATCTGGTACAAAAACAGAGAGAGCTGGGAAAACTCAACAGGTCAGGCAGCATCTATGGAGAAAGGAAAGTGAGTCAACGTTTTGCGTCCACGACCCTTCGTCAGTTCAAGGGTCGTGCATCCAAAACGTTGACTCACTTTCCTTTCTCCAGTAGGAACCTGGTTGTTAGTCAATTGACAAATTGCTTTTCTGGGGATATTCGCCCACAAATATACAGTCAATTCACTTTACAATGTGTTCTGTGAAGCGCTTTGGGACGTCCTCCCGAAGTGAAAAGCGCTATATCAAATGCAAGGATTATTATTATTATTATTATTATTATTATTATAATAATCCATTCAAAAAAAGGTGGTCATTCAATCCACAACTGTTTGTGGTACACTGCTGTGCGCAATTAACTGCCATCTTTCACCCACAATATATAAAATCAATTCAGTTTACAGTATATTCTGTTGGGTGCTTTGAGACGTCTGGAAGATATGATAAGGCGCTATATCAAATGCAAGGATTATTATAAGATTATTATTTAACGTTAACTAGCAGATTCAGAATAATGCCAAAATGTAAGGATTGTTATTGTAGTTTGTGTGGCTGCCAGTATACACACATAACATCAACAACTACTTGCATTTGCATAGCGCCCTTCACTTAGGAAAAGGTCTTGGAGTGCTTCACCATGATGGGATTGGACACTGAGCAAGGGAAAAGGGGGAGAGGGAAATAAAAGATTAGCAGACGGACAAGTTGCAGTGACCTTATAAATAGGAGAATTGTGATCACGGTCTTAGAATACAATAAGTGGCTGTGAGTTATTGCTTAGAATTGTGTCAATCTTTAAAGCTTTTACAAAGTGGATTTGTATCTTTACAAAACCTTCTTATAAGAGGTCCTGAATTAAACAGTCAGTGTTACGTTGGCCTTGTGTGCAGCATTGGGCTTCAATCTCAAGGACTAGGACATCCTCCCGACATGAAAGATGCTATGTAACTGCAATTCGTTATTGTTGTGCAAGGTGGTTGGTGATGTTTAAGCTACAGACAGCTGTTTGAAACAATCGTAGCATTGCAAAGGTATTCCAACCATGCTGAAAGTGGATGTTCTCCAAAAGATGGATCACTAAACTCTAAAGTTTGGGACAACAGATGCTGGGATGTATTTGTCACGAGTGTAGCTTCATGATCACTTATATTTAGAACTTGTAGTCATCAGATCGATATGCAGAATTCTAAGAGATTCATGATAAAAATTCACACCTGCAACCAGCAGAATCAATGATAGTAATTCCACATGTATGCGGATGACACCCAACTCTACCTGTCCTCCTCTACCCTCAACTCCACGACTACCGATGTCCTGACAGCCTGCCTGTCTGACATCGAGTTCTGGACGAGAGACAACTTTCTTCAGCTCAACGTGCGTAAAACTGAGGCCCTCCTGATTGGCTCACGTCAGCGCCTCCGCACCTCAGGCGCTGAGAGAATCAGCATCCAAGGCTGCACTCTCCACCTCTCAAAGCCGGTCAGGAACCTCGGCATTCTGTTCGACCCTGAGCTGTCCTTTCTACCTCATATCCGCGCCACAACTGGCACCGCCTTCCATCACCTCCAAAACATCGCTGGACTACGGCACTATCTCACTCCTCAGGCTGCTGAAACTCTGGTCCACGCCTTTATTACCTCAAGGCTGGACTATGGCAACTCTCTCCTCGCCGGCCTTCCCGGCACCTCCCTCCACAAGCTGCAGGTCATCCAGAACTGCAGCTCATGTACTGTCCCGCACCAGGCTTCGTAATCACATCACTCCCACCCTCGCTCGCCTCCACTGGCTCCCCATCCTCCAGAGGATCGAATTCAAGATCCTCATCCTCACCTACAAGGCCATTCATGGCCTTGCTCCCTCCTACCTCTCTGACTTACTATGCCCCTATCTACCTGCCCGTGCCTTCAGCTCCCCTCTCAACTCTCTACCCCCTCCTCGCCCCTCCCTTCCCTCCCCTCACCCTGACGTTTCCCCCCTTCTCGCTCCCTCCCTTCCCTCCCCTCACCCTGATCATCTCCCTCCTGCTCGGGTCCTGACCCAACTGTCCAGTGCTTTGGGACGTCTTCCCAATGTGAAAGGCGCTCTATAAATGGAATCTTGTTGTTGTTGTTGTTGTAATTATTCTTGTATTTAGTATAGTACCGTAACGCATCATTGAAAAGTCTCAAAACTCTCATCAAGATTTTCGGTAATTATTGCATGTTTGTAGGCAAACATGGCAGCCAGTTTGCTCACAGATCTCCACAACAATCATGAAATGTATGACTTTTTATTTTCATTAAAATTTTCAAGACTGAGATGGATAGATGTTTGTTTGATAAGGGTATCAAGAGATATGGGGCAAGAGCGGGTAATTAAAGTTGAGGAACAGATCAGCCATGATCTTATAGAATGATGGAACGGACTCAAGGGGCTGAGTGGCCTGCTCCTGTTGCTACATTCCTATGTCTGGGAGATGGTTAATCAGAATACCAGGAGAACCTCTCTTTTTTGAATAGTGCCATGCGATCAATGGGATTTGAAAGGATAAACATGTTGTTGGCAGAATGGGATTCATCTGATACAGATTCGGATCCTATGAGCTTACATCCTAATAGTGGTCTTAGCTTTACAAGCATTGAGAACTTATCAGTGCCTCATATTAAATGGGGCTAAATGGTGATCATCACTGGTCTGCTGTGATCCAGTTTTGCTAACATTTACCAACATCAGATGATAATGAACTAACAGCAAATGTCAGCATTCATCCATGGGTGTGAATTCTTGTCAAATACACCTGTTAGCGAGGTATTCCTGGTTTTTCTAATAAAATAAAAACAATTGTGAAAGTAAAGAAAACTTGTTTTAATTGTGTTCTTACTGATACCATCACATGAGTAACAGAATTAACTGGTACAGTTGTACCAACTGGCAATGGTACAATATTGACATACTCATTAGATCACATCATTACCAGTAAGTCTTGCGAATAGTGTAATGTCATCAAGATGGAAGCATGCATAAGCAATCCGTAAATTAATATCTACTTAGTTTTGCGGAGTGAAATCTTAGGCATGTTTCCTTAATCCACACGTCGTTTTACCTAGCAGTAAATAGGATCCCAGTTGTTAGTCGATTGGCAGATCACTTTCGGGGGTAATAATCCCTTCAAAAAACTATTTTAAAAAAATTGGTCATTCAATCCATGACTGTTTGTGGGGCACTGCTGTGTGCAATTGGCTGCCTCATTTCGCCCACAAAATATACAGTCAATTCACTTACAATATACGCTGTGAAGTGCTTTGAGACATCTCAATGATGTGAAAAGGTGTTATATCAATTGTAAGGATTCTTTTTCTTCACTTTTTCATTAGCCATCTTCACTTGTGTTAATATATTCATATGATTTGAAAGCCATATGCGATACCTTCAAAACTGGAGTTAGTTAGGAATAATTTGTTTTCTCTAACTGTTATCTCTATGTAGTTGATAATAAATGTTATTCAGTATTACATTAAGAATAATGTATTTCTTTTTTGTTTTCTTACAGGGTGATTACTGCTATCAGTTATTATGGTTTAACGCTCAGTACTTCCAACATGTATGGAAACCCTTACATCAACTGTTTCATCTCTGCAGTTACTGATATGGTAGCATATATCATTTCATGGAGGTTGATGCTTCATGCACCTCGACGAATCTCCACAGCTTCTATGCTGCTGCTTGGTGGCAGTATTTTACTCCTGGTTCGATTTGTCCCAACAAGTAAGAGATTAAATTAAACAAGTTATTCTGTTTTTCTAATACAAAGACTCACTTTTAAATCTCACGTTAAGACTAACCACGATGACCGTGCTCCTCCCCCTCCCCCTTCTCCGTTACTCGGTGTCCAACCCCATCACTCTGCAGTGTTCCCGGATGCTATCTTTTAAATGCAAGTTGTTGTTTCCATTTACCTCCTGATAATACTTTTAATTTTCTTTTCACATTTTCTTAAAAAAATCTCTGGTCCAAGGAGCAAGCAAAGATTAATAATAGATATATTAGAGCTGCATGAACATTTTGATATCAAAGAATGTTTGGTATTATTTAACCTATCATGTTTGTGATAGCTTCCTGACTTGATCTATCTGCTCTAACCCCAGCCCCCAACTCTTTAGATCTACCTTTTAATATATTTTTCTTCTAATTTTAAATACTGTTATTTTAAATACCTGTGGAGTCCTGTAGCACATTCGTTAGAGTATTGATCTCAGAAGTGAGAGGACCTGGGTTCGATTCCTGGGCATGGCAAAACCTTAGGCAAGTTTCCTTAGTCTTTCGTCTCTATTTGCCTAGTAGCAAATAGGAACCTGGTTGTTGGAAAATCACTTTCGGGGGTAATAATTCCTTCAAAAGATAATAATACAAAGAATTTGGTCACTCAATCCATGACTGTTTGTGGGACACTGCTGTGTGCAATTGGCTGCCACATTTCTCCCACAAAATATACAGTTAGTCCACTTTACAGTATATGCTTTGGGACGTCTCAGCAATGCTATATCAAATGCAAGGATTATTATTTAAATTGAACAGTTATTCATGGCAAGGAATATCACATTCTAACAAGCCTCTATGAAAAAGATACATCTTCTTCACCCTGCTTTTTCTCTGGTGATAATTATCAATTAACAATTGTTTGTTACTGTCTCAGCGGACCTGTATCAATTCTTCAACTAATCATAATTCAACCACATTCTATGTATTATTTTGGTCAGCCGGATGTCTGACACATGTGGAAACACATGACCATGCTTAAGTGTGTCCAAACCAAAGTGAAAATTCCATGCATTCCATCTCACATAGATATTCCAGAGATAGATTGGGGAATTTTATGAATATATCAGAACCATGGAAATAAAATAAGTGTATCAGATCTTATCCTCCATGCACATGAATCAATCAGATGTAATAGCATCCAGTGTATTACAAAATATAACTATCATTTTCTCTGTGGGGTAGTATTATTGTGATAACTTCAGCTGGAACAGAATAACAACAACAAAATAACATTTGCATAGTGCCTTTCACGTTGGGATGATGTCCCAAGGTGCTGAAGCTACAATAATTATGCATTTCAATGATCTGATCCAGATATAAAGTTCTTTGAGAAGTCCTCCCAAGTTGAAAGGTGTTATATCAAATATGAGGATTATTATTAGATATGCTTTTGAAATGAGTCAAATGATAACAACGATAAATGAAAATGACCCCCAAAACGCACCTCAACAAACCAGAATTATTCTGACCCATTAATTTAAGCAGGTAGTTTTGTTTTTACAGTATATATTGTTTACAAGATGTAAAAGGGATGTTAGAAATCAGGAGACAAGGTCTAGCTTGATACTTTAGTTACACTAATTGATGACTTATCAATTGAATATTACTCTGTAGTACATGCTGATCAGCTAAGAAATTCATTGATTCTGATGGATTACTATAAATCAAAGTGACAATCAGTTTTCAAAGAGAAACCTTCATGCAGTTAATGTCACATTTTACCATAAGAATATCAGATAAGGCAAAAATGATAAAAATGAACCTTGCGAAGCTACAAGTCAAATTTAAAGATTTTGAACTATTACCTATTTCCACTGCCTTATAAGGAATGTATCAGTTTGACTTATGTATAACACTTCTTGAGGTATTGAGGTATTAAAACCAAAGCCCTGTCTCTATGTCTCATGTGCATGTTAAAGATTCCATGAGACTATTCAAAATGTTTTCCAGTGTCCTTGTAAACAATGCTCCAGATCAATTAATCATTCCACCTTACCACTGTGTGTGGGACTTTGCTGGTGCAAAAATGGCTGCTGCAATTATCTTACCATACAAAAGTACAACAGTCAGAAGCTAATCAGCATATTATTTTGTGTCAGTGTTTGCTCTTCAAATGAGGCGTCCATCCTAATCCCAATTCCCAGCTCTTTCCCTGTATCCTATAATTCTATTTCTGTTGACGTTCTTGTCTAATTCCTTTTTTAAATGCTTTATCCAACTCTGCTCGATCAACCAGTCGTGACAAATCATTCTGTTACCCTGACAAACCCCTGGGGGATAATTCATTTCTGAAAGTCTTCTTCTATTCCCCGAATCACAATCTTGAACAAATGCCCATTTGTCCCTAAATCTCCAGCGTAAAGAGTATTTCACAATGGCTTCTTTCAAACCTTTTTCATTACTTTAAACACCTCTATCATATCAATCCTCAACCTTTTCTCTACCAGCAGGAAGAATCCCTCTAACCTCTTAAACCTGTCCTTCTTGCTGTATCCTTTTATCTCCATTATCATCCTTGTGAACCTGTGGCTTAATTTTGACCATAATCTGTTATTTCAATACTTTATCTAAATAAAAAACCATGTATGACCTTATCCACATTTTTGTTATCTTGTTGAAGAATTCAGTCAATTAGTCAGGCATGATTTTCTTTTCACAAAACTATGCTGGGAATCCCTTATCAATTCTATCTTTTCTAAATGTTTCACAACAACATTCTCTATTATGATCCCAAGTAGCTTCCTGGAAATGGTGTGAGACTCACCAGACTTTGCACCTCCTCACCTCAGATGCTGAGAGCATCCCCATCCATGGTTGCACCCTCAACCTTGCTAAGCCAGTCTGGAACCCTGGCATTTTGCTTAACTCCCAACTATCTTTTCTACCCCACATCTGCACCATGACCCGCTCTGCCTTCCCCCACCTCCACAACATTTACTTCACTGTTCCTTTTTGTACTTGCCCTTTATCTGTCAGATGACTGTTGATCTCATTTTTGTCTCAATTTCCTTGATTATCCATGGAAATATTTTGCCTGTATCTTATGCAAATGTTTTTAAATATTTCTCACTTAAATATTTCTCGACAACCTACCATTTATATGGTATTTGTTCTATCCTATCTAGGTGTAGCAATTCTTTATTTAATTCACACAAAGTTGCTCTTTTCCAATTCATTACCTTAATGCTAAATTCCTCCTTTATTCTAGTCATTTTGACAGTGAACTTGATAGTCATTGATTCGGAAATATTCTCCTACCTTTAAGTTGCTCACCAACCCTAGCTCATTGCCCAGGACAAAATGAAACAATATATATTTTCGAGTGGGCATCTCAACATTTTGTTTTATACTCTAAAATTACCTTCCCCATCTCACCCACACTCATTTGTCAAATAATTAAAGTCGCTTAACAGTCTTGCCTTATTATTCCTGCTTCCTAAATTGCTTATAGATTTTTACTTCACTTTCCTTGTCCCAATGCAGGAGTCTATTTGCCTAATAATGTATTTGACAGTAATCACATCTTGTGGCAGAGAGGGCTCGCCTATAATGACTTGTCGCTAAGCTTCCTAGGGGCAGAGTCAGCTTCACAGCAGGCACATCTATTTGCCAAGGCCCCTCGCATAAGGGCCTGGATTAAGCAGTTGGTGCTGAGTAAGCCTGGTACACAGCATTGGACCTGAACTTGAGAACTTCAAGGTTGGTAAGAATGTCACAAACTGTCCTGTAAAGTCCCTCCCACTATGCTGAAGACAGATGTTCATCAGATAACTGATGAGGAAATTCTGAGTCTTTTGGCAACAGCTGCGGAAAAGTTTAATCTGGAGTCCAAGTTTGTGAACACACGTTTATACTTGCACTTGGAATCCACCTATGCACAGGTAGATATCTCTAAATGAATGCTATCATGAAAATCTGTAGCTGTTCAAAAGGGTAAGCAAACAAAAATGTTTTAAATGGTACATTAACCATTGAGGGCATTTTCTGTCCTTTTCTGAACTATCGAATACCTTTAGTATCTTAATAATACTATGAGACTGGAAAGTGATGATTTGTTCAATTTGTATCCAAGTTCTTCCTAATGAACATCATAATTAAAGAGAGGGAATTTCAGTCCAGTATAGTTGTCAGAGCAAAGACAAAGCTATAAATCTGCATTTATTGCTATAGTGTCTACATTTAGTGAAATGGCAAGTAAACTATTGTTTTTATACGTTTTTCTTCTGAATCACTCTTGTAATTTTATAAAATGTTTCCAATACAGTGGCAGATATTGCAAATTGCAGATAATTTATTTCATTTTGATTTCACAGGTCTTCATATTCTGACTTTGATCTTGGTGATGATTGGTAAATCTGGCATTGCAATAAGCTACGCTATAATCTACATTTTTACTGCTGAGCTATATCCAACCTTGGTGAGAAACATGGGGCTTGGGGCATGCTCTATGGCATCCCGGGGTGCCACCATTATCTCCCCATATCTTGTTTATCTTGGTAAGTGAGATTTTGACACTTTATTTGACTGTTTTATTCTGCTTCCAGTAATCACTTCTATTAAGAAACTTCTAACAATGTGGATAGGTAGAGTGTAAACGAAGAAGAGATGCTAATAATGGTAAATTGCCTAGTATGTTTTAATTTACAATTTATCTCATATAAATCTATTTATTTTGGATATTTGTTCTATTTGATTTGGATAAGAAGCTGAATTCTGAATCAGATTTATTTTCTATACTTTCACTAGTAATTTAAAAACAAGTTTTATTTTATGAATGATAAATTATGTCATTAGCAGCCAATTGACTTTCAATTTTGTTAGCATGAGATGATTGATTGTTTTATAATTTAATCTGCACCCTTTTGTATAGATTATATTGTTCCTTAATGTTAAAATACTGAGACAGGAATTATGTTACTGTCGTGTACATTTATGAATGATCCTCATAGTATTATCATGTTATTACAATGTCTCTGTTTTCAGTGTTCAAGTTTCTATCCATTCATGCCTCTCATGAATAAAAAGTGTTGTCTTTTCACAAGAGCAGTTCGGATGAAGAAGGCATTTTGGCCCATTTGTCCTTCCAGAATATCCACCCTATTATTTTCCCATTATTGCATCAAGCTTCTGCTCAAATGAACCCAATGTTCCAGCCTCAACCACCCTTCCTGATATTTTGTTCCGGTGGTGGTTACCCTCTGCAAAGAGATATTTGCAGGTGTCCTAAAATTGCCCATCACATCCTGGAACCTGTGGCTTCTTTCCTGCTGTTTTGGCAATTCTGATAGAATTGTTCCGAGTTGGAAGGTGATAGATGTACTTTGGGAGAAAATGGTGGGTGTTGTTTACCTGAAATGTTAGCAGTTTTACAAGCAGAAAATTGGATTTTGTGCATTATATTGTAGTATTTTCGCAGATGGGAATAAGATAGTGTTCAACACTTGGCACTATTGGGTCCCAATCAAGCCAATTTTATGATCCAGTTAAATTAATATGGTCTGACTTTTGCTGTATTTTATAGCAAAAGTCAATGCTTTTATTATCCTTAATATCTGTATTATCATTAGCACTTAGATTTTAAATCATAAACCTGTATCACTGGCGGTTATATTTCAATTACTTTAATTCATTGTGTCCATTATAAAATGAATGTTTAAGCCTTACTGCAGCATTATGATTTATCATAAAATAGCAGTTATTTTAGCATGTATTGCAGATTTGTCCATTACGTATTACAATTTAACACTTGGTATATATTCTATATTTAGTACTGAAGTGCAATTTATTATTGTTGAATTGTGGGGTTTGGGCGGGGGTGTACAGAGGGATACTGAATATGTTGCTGTATATGGGATTGTGCTGTAAACTGACTCCTGATTATACACCCCGCATATTTCAGTGAGGAGCAATAATTTGTAATATTGTGGTGGATTTAGTCTGGTGTCATCCAAGAATCCCAGGTTCAATCCAGTAGAACTGAATTTTGATCGCCCACAAAACACACAGTCACTACACTTTACAGTATATTCGATGAAGCCCTTTGAGACGTCTCCACAACGTGATAAGGCACTATATCAAATGCAAGGATTCTTTTTATTATTATTATTATTATTATTATAGCAATAGCCATATTTAAAGTGAAAGGGGCAGAACAAATGTATATTTTCAATTGTATTGTACACTATGCACATTACTTTCCAAGATAATGTCCTAACCCACAAATGGTCGTATCGTTGTTGTCGACCAAATTGTAGTCAAGGGAACTGACCATCTCTCTTTCTCTCTGTTTCCTAAATTCCTCTCACTCTCTCTCAGGGTCTATACCTGTGCATGTTATCTTTCTCTATCCCCCTCCCACCCTCCCCTCCCTCCCTTATTGTTTCTATTCTGGATCTTTTAGTCTCATTACACTCTTTCCAGGAGCTTTAGAATGGGCTGTGCTCCCTGTTTCTTTGGTTAAACTTAGTCTGTGATCTTATCGCCCTCTTTGCTAGGTCTGACTGACTTGCTTTAAAAATACAGGATGTTATAGGTCAGTTAGTCAGATGTTTGTAAAATAATAGAGAGAATAGGGAATTACATGACTAAGCACTTGGAAAAACATGAATTACTTAAAGCAAATCAGCAAAAAATTCTGAAAGGTAGGTTGTGCTAGACAAATCTTATAGAATTATTTGAAAAATAAAAGAGAGAATAGAAAATTCAGTCAATGTGTTTGATTGTTTTTGGTCAGCCAGGTGTCTGACACATGCAGAAACCCATCACCATGTTTAAGAGAGTATCCAAAGCAACCTAAGATTTCTATATGTTCCACCTAACATGAAAATTTCAGAGATGTTTATTGGAAAGGATTGTGCACTCTCCCCCTGGAGGCACAAACCCTGCTTATCTATTTCAGGCACAGGTTGGCAAGAACCAAGGCGTGGGGACCCGAAAGTGTGCGTTAAGACTCCTTGTGCAGTCTATCCAGCTAAAATGCCATAGCTTACTTTTGAGAGCACTGCCCGGTAAGCTTTCCTACTGCTTGTCCAGCTAGGACCATCCTATCCATGAGAGCTTTGTCTTGTAGGATTTTCGGGACCTGAGTGGGATGACTCGCTGCCCCAGTGACTGTCTGCCCTTTCAAATCCTGCCGATGAGCAAGTATCATGCTATGCTGTCATCAGCAGTGTCCTGGAATACTGCGGAGCTGCCTGGCTCAGGAATTGCACTACCAAAACCGCCACAGAACGTGGGCTTGATTCTGACATTCCATTGCCAAACATATCACATTAGAGACAGTTTAGGTACAAGCAGACCCCATTTCCACCCCCCACCCACCACACCCCCCCACCAACCCCACCAACTCTCCTCCCAAGGAGGATAGTCTTTGGCCATTTGACAACTAACAAACATAGGTTTGAGCCCTCACTAGATGGATCACAGGTATCAGGAACTCCCTGTGAGCTTCCTGGTGGACAACATAGTTCAGCATAATAAGTGAGAAAGCACTGCATCAATTCCTGCCCACAGCTCGTACACAAATCTCTTCCCATTGAGCGATGGTTCCACCAGTTGGAGGTGCGGAACTTTAGCAGCAGCTGCTTATCCCTCTGCAAACCAAGGTTTGTGGTTGATACAGATTTTCAATACATAATTGATAAAGTACTGTTATGGCACATGGATTAAGGAAAATATGACCACATGGTTAGAGACAGGTGTGTAGAGCAGAAAGCAAAGAGTAGTGGTAAAAGGAAGTTTCTTGGCCTTGGATGTTGTAGTGAGTGGTGTTCAACAGGGTTCTTTCTTATGTATACATAAATTATCTGGATTTAGGACTTAAGGGAACAATATTGAAATTTGTTGATGGACAAAATTGAAGGGAATGGAAAAATTGTGATGAGGAATGTAAAGACTGCAGAAAGACAGAATGCTAGTAGGATGGGCAAGTACGTGGCAGATATAGTTCAATTTTGAAAAATGTGAAGAGTTTTGGGGGCTCAGTCAGGTGTCTGACACCTGCAGAAACCCATCATCATTCTTAAACCTACAGTAGTGCAATTTAATCATAAGAAATGCAAGTACATCTTAAGCAATGAGATTTTAAATTGGTAGTGGAGCAGAGACCTTGGTGTGCAAAAGATTATAAAGGCTCAATAGATTATTTTCACTGGTAGGCAAATTCATGACTAGCGATTTTAGATTTTTAAATTTTAAATTAACACAAAATAATTAATTGGGAAATAAGACAACATTTATATACATAGCATGGTTGGTGGCAAAATCTATCAACTAATTTCGAGAAGAAAATACATAGATGCTTGAAAAAGATGACTAAGATATATAGTAGAAAACAGGATAGATGGCCTTAGATGTTTCATGGGGGGAAAAAGAGATTTGGTGGACTGAATGGTTTGTTTCTCTGCTGTAACATTCTATGATTCCATCCCTCTTGTCCAGGGCTAAATGGCTCGCTGGGACTCAGTCAGATCCAGTGGCATGCTCTTCTCTAATCCTGCAGCTGCTAAAACTATCTGTGAGGACCAGATACAAGAAGCAATACTGCTATATGTCAAAGGAGAGAATTAGCTGAAGGTACCAATTCTACCTGAGGTAGGATGGGAGGGGGTGGTGGGGGGGGAAGTGGGGGCAGTGCTCTAATATCCTTCAATGGCAGAAGACAGATATACATATCTATTCCCCACTGTTAATGTTTACTCCAGTTAAAACCTGCCGAAGGTCTTGGAATACATGTTTAGGGATATTATGAAAATCTTTTCATTGTGGCCTTCTTCTCAATAATGCAAATGTGAGGCCTGAACATATTTAAATCCAGAGAAAAAAAATATTAAGAAGGGGAAACAATACAGAAATAATTCAAAATTCAAGAGGTTCAAGCAAACAAAAATATTATATATTTATATTACCAGTATTTTTGAGATTTGCATGTGGTTTAATGCAGACGCAAATTATTACCATTGCTGAACTAAAGATATCAATTTATCAGATTTGGGGGGGAAGGATTCCATTACATTCCTTCCTCAGCACCCCGAGCTTGGGTGCTGAGGAAGGACTGGCAAGTATCTTGGAACATTCTCCCAATGTGAAAAACGCTGTATAAGTGTAAATTTATATTGCATTATTATATTTAATTAGTCTGCCATATGAGGCTATTTGAGAGCTTTAATGCCACCAGCGTTTATTGTAGTAGGTTTTATTCACAGCAGTTTATCAAACTTTTTTTTTCATGAGTTAGCCCTTGCTATAACTTTCCTTGCTATAACTGCAGCCATTATTCTCTCAAAGGGGGACCAGGAAAAGCAGAAAATGTGATCAGACAGAAGGAGAAGATTAGGGCGAAAGCTATATTCATGTTAAAGGTATATGAATCAACAATAAATATTTTGGCAATAACGGAGTGGGTGTTCAGAAGGAGGTTTCAACCAACGAAGGATGTAATCAAAGAGAGGTGGCAAATGGTACCTTCATATTTGGAGAATGTCTCAGTAGGTCAAACTATTCTGCTTGAGGCTGTAGAAATTACAGCAGCCATTAATCTTTTTGTTCCAGTATCTTTCCAGGCACCTTCAGGAGATTACAATGGAATTGGCCAAGGCATCATGTCCATCTGCATTCAGGAGAAGGGTTGGCAGGTTAATTCTTATTTCTAAAAATGGAAAGTAACAGTTCGCCACATAGAAAATATTTTGTTGCATTTCCTGGAGCCCAGAATGTGGTGAAATGTACCTTTGAAGTGGTGTGGTACTGTCAGTCAAACCAACAGTGTACACCAATCAAAACGGCCTCTGTTGGTGTTAGCCTGGCTGAATTAGTAGCACTCTCACCTCTCAGTCAGAGGTTGTGGATTCAAGCCCTATATTGGGACTTTCAGCTCACAGTCCAGGCTGACATTCCAGCATTGCATTGTCAAAGGTGCCAACCTTTGGATAAGACACAAAATTGAGGTCCTGTCTGTCTGTTCAGGTGGACACTAATGATCCCATGGCATTATACAAAAAGATACGGGAGTTTCTCCCGGTTCCTGGAGAACAATCCTCCAAATTAAGTTGGTCTATCACTTTATGCGTACTTGTGGAACCTTGCTGTGCTGCACTGCTAGCATACAAGCACACAGTTAATACAAATGAACGCAATTATTTGTGAAGCGCTTTGAGATTTGTCGACTTCCTAAGTACTGTACTATAATATGAAAAAAAGATTGTTACAATATTATAATCAAAAAATATGCTCAGGTGTCTCCCCATTCTTCATCTCACCTTCTTCCACACCTCTCTTCCTCCCTTACCATAACCCCTACCCTTCACAACTTTGTCCCTGCTTGCCTCTCATCTCTTTCTATCTTTTGCAATGAAACCTATCACCTTCTTCCTTGACCTCATTCCCACTGAACTCCTCATCTCCAAACTACCCACTCTTGTCTCCTTGCTTGCTGATGTCATCTACCATTTCCTATCCTTTAACATAGTGCCCTCCTTTAAAACTCCAATCATCACCCCTACTCCTCTCAAAAAACCTTGCTTGGCCCCTTCGAAACTCTAAATATTTCCTCATCCCTACACTGCCTTTCTTCTCCAAGTCATCGGAAGGTGTTGCCTCCCAGCTATACTGCCACCCTTTCCCACTATTATCTGTATCACTCCAATCAATCTGGTTTCCATCCTATTCATAGTATTGAGGCAGCCCAGTCAATGTCAACAATGACATCCTCTCAGTTTGTGTCCATGCTCCTTGTCCTTGATTTTTTTGTAGCCTTCAATATTTTTGATGACTCCATCTTTCTCCATCATCTTTCCTCCCAGGTCAACCTCCAGAACACCATACTTTTCTAGTTCTAATTATGTCTGTTTTATTGATTTCATGTTATATCTTTTGATGGCTTTTCCTCTTGCCTTTCACAGCCCTACACTGTCACTTGTGATGTTCCTCAGGGCTCTATTCTTGGTTCTCTTCCTCATTTATATGCTCTCCTTGGTGACATAATCTGCATGCATTTATGGGGACAATACCAAACTCTATCTCTCTGTTTTCAATCTTGACTGCAGGACCACTGGTGTCCTGACAGCCAGTCTGTCAAACACCAAGCCCTGGATGAGGTTCTATTTCTTTCAACTGTCCATAAAACCATATAAGTTGAGATGGATGTAGAGCTAAAGGTAAGAATGCTCTTACATGAGCATTCTTATCTCTAGCTCACCTTCTCCCGCTGCTCACTCAAGCTTATGGAGCCATTGAACATTCTCAACCTTTAAGCTTTTCACTCAGTCCTTGACCAAGTTTCTTTACCTCCATATCTTAAAAATCATTTGCCTCCATCCCTACCTCATCCCAAGCACTGTTGATTCCTTATTCAGGACTTAGTCACCTTCAGCCTTGATTTCTCCAATTAACTCCTTGCTCAACTTCCCAGTTCAACCCTCCACAAGTTACAAATTATTCAAAACTCTGCAGTCCATATCCTTTCCTTTACCAGCCTCAGTGAGCCCATCATCCTATTTTAACTGGGTTGTACTGGCTCCCTACTGTCTAGCCCATTCCTTCTGCTCTGCCACCTGCTTCATATCCTCCACCCCCAGCATCCCACCATGGATGAGGTTACAGCCTCCTTGTTTCCCCTCTCTGAAACTCTTTCCCTAAATTTCTGCACCTTTCATCCTACCTCTTTGCTTTCAAAACCTTATTAAAACCCACCTCTTTGGGTGCACCTCAGATCATCTCCCTCTGACCTTCCTTCCCCCATTTTCCCATCTTTGAGAAGTGCCATGAGACATTTAATCTGTAAAAAAATGCTCTATAGGAGTAAGTTGTATTATTTCTTCAATATGGTGATGTGTGATATCTAATAAGTAATCATCAGTGTTACTGTAAATTCCAGAAATCATGAGTCTTCCACATTCATTTAAGTTGCAAATCCCATACCCAGTTCATTACCAAGACTACGTTCTTGTACAATGCTTGCACATGTCCCTACTTTACATCCTCTGCTGCTGAAACCCTACTCAAGCCTTCATCATGTATCTTTAGGATATATCTTTCACCAGCCTCCCTGGATCCTTTGTTCAGAAGCTTCAATGGATCCAGAACTTTGCAGCCCACGATCTCTCCTGCACAAATCTCTGTAGATGTATTACCCTAATCGTTGCCAAATGTCATTGTCTCCCGATAACACCATGATATTGTCCTACCAGTCTTTCCAGCACTAGATTCCAGCCCATAACCTCCACTGTTCTGAGAATGGTCTATTGGTCACTCCCATCTTTCTTCACTCCACCATTGGTGTCCAAGCCTTTTCCAGAATGCCCCTATACTTTCAAACTCTTTTCCAAAACCACTTTAACTTGCTTTCTCACTCCCTACATTCAAAAGCATTCATAAATACATATAAATACATATAAATCCATCCCTTTGATCAACATTTTTAAAACTCATATTTTACTGCTCAATTGTCCACCATTACATTTTCCAAAATATCCTGGGACATTATTTTACCTAAAATGTGCTACATAAATGCAATTTCTTGGTGGTGTTTTTTCAACTTTAGCCAGTCATGCAATGCTTTGCAATATGATCATATCAAGGTTTGTAAATCCTTTGTGGTGTACATTACTGCATAATTTCTAACCTTGTTATTCAGAGGGTCATCTACCATGACAAGAATGGCCTATTCTCTAGGCTGTGGATGAGGAGAAATTCCAACAGCCTGCAGTGGTATCCCAGCATTGGCAAGCAATGTTCTCAACAACCACTTTCCATCCTTATGGTACTTCTCTTTTAGCTGAATTTAGGTAGTCTTTTGCTGTAAACTCAAATCCACAGGGAACTGGGTTGAGATTGCCTCATATTTTGTGTGTAGGACCCTCATAGCCACCAGAGAACAAATGTTTGTCTCTTCAATCTGGGCTGGATTTGAGCCAAGATCTCAGAGGTGACAGAAATGTGCTAATCTCAGTTAGTTCATATTTTATATATTCTAAATACTACTTTAGAGTAGTGCTTCCCTCCACAAGCTGTAGATCATCCAGAACAATGCAGCTCATGCCCTCTCCCGCACCAGGCTCTGTGATCCCATGATACCCACCCTTGCCCGGCTCCACTGGCTCCACTTTCCTCAGACAATCAAGTTAAAAATTCTCCTCCTCACCTTCAAGGCCCTCTAAGGCCTTGCCCTCTCCTACCTCTCCAACCTACTAACTCCTTGTCAACCTGTCCGCTCCCTCTGCTCAGCAGGCTCCAGCCTGCTCCATGTTCCCCGCCTGGCCCATCCCACCATCAGCGGTCGGGCCTTCAGCCTCCGTGAACCCCACCCTCTGGAACTCCATCCTACATTCCCTTCACCTCGCTCCCTCCCTTGTCTCCTTCAAGGGATGCCTCAAGACCCTCCTCTTTGACTGTGCCTTCGGCCACCCTCCTACCCTCTCTGCCCTCCACCCTCTGTGATCCCAACACTGTTGGTAGCCCCCCCCACCCCATCAGCTCGGGTCGTAATCCCTGACTGTTCAGTGCCTTGAGAAGTTCTCCTGAAGTGTTATTTTGTATTGTATTGTACTTTGTCAAGCAATGTTATATAATTATTATTCACAGGGTCATTTCGGCCACAAAATACACAATCAATCCGCTTTATAGTATATTCTGTGAATTGCTTTGAGACATCTCAATAACGTGCTAAGGTGCTATATCAAAAGCAAGGATTATTATTGTTATTATTATAATCATGAGGGTATTTGGATCCTTCAATTCACAGAATATTTGAAATTGAAATATAATGGTTGTAGGATTAAAATATGGTTCTGCCTTTTAGCAGCCAAACCTACTTAATATCCTGTAGTATTTTGTTTCTTTAACACAGAAAAGTGAATCTTGTCTAACAAGAGCCCGTTATCAACTCTCAAGGAGCAATAACAACTCCCATTGTACATGTGGCATCCTAATGAGCCACCCAGAAGAAGAAAATCTCAAGTTTCGTCCCTGTCAGTGCTGAGTTAGTCAATCTAAGATCAGGCAATGAGGAGAGCGCTGCAGGTGGCCTCAGCACTTTTCAGATTAGGAAGGGGCAAACAAATTCAGACAGGGTTCCTCCTCCTGATCATTATCCAATGACCTTGTCCAGAAATGTATATCTGCGGATATCAGGTGAGGACAGGATTGGTTTTGGCTGTAATGGTCTCCCTCAGTCCAAGAGCTTCCCAAAATTCACTGTCCAACTGGCAGATGTCAAATTGCCACAAGAATGATGTACCAGAGAGCTGCCTGTGGAACTATACCTGAACATTAATTGCTGCATTGAGGAAAAGTGCGTGTGGTGTGGGGGTGGAGAGTATTTAGAAATATTCATCATAACATTATAACTGCATTAAAGTAAAAATATTTGGAATGAGCAAACCAGGATTAGTTTGAATATTCCATTTTGGATTTAAAGCTGTTAAACTTGGCTTCGTCATTATCAAATTAATTTTGACTCAGGTTTGCAGAATAGCAAATCCTTGTAGCATGGAAGCACTATCATGTTCAGTTACAACAAACATAATCTGATTTGCTCAGATTCCTGCCTTGAATTTGTGCTTGTCATTAAAAAATAATCTTCTAGAGAAGATGCTAGGGTCTGAAACAATTCTCCCCATCTTTTAAATTAAACTAACATTATAAGAATATACAAACATATCCTTCAAATTTATAAGATTCAGTGTGATCAGATATTTATTTGTAATGTAATGAATGCAAATTATCTGATGAGTGATTTAAGTAGTATTAATGTGTTTGAAAAGCTTATATTCTTAGTCTTATTACAATTCCCATTTCCCATTTCATGTTAGAATGGGAGAATCTTGAAGTGAATGAAGCACTTAATTTGAATTATTATTAACTGAAATTATTATAGTAACCATAATAACATTCAAAGTTGAGTCCATTTGACAAAAACAATCTTGCTTTATTTTAGGTTAGTTTTGAGCACTTATCAATCCTAAGAAAATTGATGAAAGCATTGTAAAAGCAAATCTTTAATTAGTAATAAAGATCTAAAAATATGTAATGGGATTGAAAGAGTGTTTACATCACAGACAGAGACTATTCATATCATCATGTCTGAGCAGGTTACTCCACTGGAGGGTAAATATAACAGCATAATCCTATTCATTGACTTTTGGCCCATACTGTTCAATATAATTTTTCTTCAAGTATTTATTCAATTACATATTAAATGTTGTTATGGACTCAGCTTGAACAATATTTTTTGGTATAAAGTATTTTGTATTCTAACAACCCTGTGTAACCTTCTCTTTTTCCTTCTGGTGATAGTTGTCAATTTATGCCATGTTGTTATTGACTCGTCAATCAATAGAAATAGTCTTTATGAGTTTAGAATAATAATTTAAATTGTTCATAATTATGAAAACATTTATTAGATTCTAACTTGCATTCCAACAAAAACAATCCTAAATAACTATAATCCTGTGTCCCTGGTATCATCCTAGTGAATCTCTGATGTCCTATCTATAACAGAGTGCTCAAAATTGTCACAATACTCCAACTCCAGCCTCACTAATACTTTGTAAATTTGTAACATTGGCTTTTTTCTTTTGTATTCAATGCAAATGTCCTTGCCTTAACCACCCTTTCTAATCACCCTCCGGGGAAATATTTTTTTTCTGAAATTGCCCTTTGCAACTTTAAACTTCTGTCCTCTTGTTCAGCTGTATTGGTGCATCTGAAACTATTGTTCTGGCTTCACGTTTTCAATCCCATTTAAAATCCTGTGATCTGCAAATGTAATTACCTTACACTGTCACTCTGAATCCAGGTCAAGAACCAGGGTGGGCCCCAGTACAGACCCATGAGACACACACTTCATACTTCTTCCCATTTGATCTAGCTCCCCTAATATCTATAATCTATGTCTTTTCCTTGAATCCCAGAGATCTCAATTCATAAAAGAATCTTTTCTGTAGTACTTTGTCAAATGCTTTTCAAAGTCCAGATACACTACATCATATGGCTTCTCACAGTCATTTTGGGTTGTCACTGCTTAAAAAGGTCTATGTATTTGGTGAGACAGATCTACTCCTTCTGAACCTATACTGTCTGTCAGTCATTCCTTTTTTTTACACAAGTCATATTTGTTTCTTTCTGATGATTGTCTCCATCATTGTCTCCAATTATTGAGGTCAATCTAATGTTGTCAGGTTCTGTTAATACTACCCAAATCTTCTGCCTGGCCCCATCCATTCCCAGGGATATGTTGGTTTTCAGTCCCTTGAGCTGATCTATAACCTCAGCATAGAACCTCCTGTCAAAGTCCTGGAGCTCACACAATGTCTGCTCAATTTTAGGGATGCGCTTCATGATAAAAAAAAATCTCCAGGAAGTAGTTGTTTAATGTGTTTGCTATTTCCCGTTCAGTCTCTTATTCAACGGTTCCTGTTATAAATAATTTTTTTTTAACCATAGAGTCCCTTGCATATCTACACTCCTAGGCCTCTTTAGTATTCCACTCCATTCAGGTTGTTCCCATTAAGGTTATATTTCCTTTCCTTTCTTTTCTTTACAAGATGTACTACTTCATATTTCTGAAATAAATTCTATTTCCTACTTATCTACTCACTCTGAATATGTCATCTATATTCTTCTGCTTTCCACTTCACAATTTCCCACACCCTTTAATTTGGTATTATCAATCAGTAAATTTAGATAGATTCCCTATGCTAAAGTGATTCCCTGTGCAAGAAGACTTGGGCATAATAAATGTATCTAAAATATATGTCTGAAATGGTACATAAGAGAGGCACTAGGACAGATCACCACTGACTACATCTCACCAATTGAAAAGCATCCTCTTACCCTTCTCTGGTTCCTGAATTTCAGACACTTCTCTGTTAGAATTTAGAGCTCCAAAGGGTTCACGTAGATTTATTCATTCAGTATTAATAGAATTTTTTTTGTAGAATACTAGTATACTGGGAGAAAGCTGCATTCCCACTAGGTCAATGCAGGACTCAAAAAATGAATATGGAGAATTCTGATGTTATAAATAAGGTGAAAATATTCCATTATATTCAGTGAGGGATGGAGAAGATCCTAGGATTGAAGGAATGGGATGTGGAAATTTACGGTTGAGAAAAGGGAAAATAAATCCTAACGTTGAATCTTCCTAAATTCAGGAAGCATTGCAGAGCAAAGGGTTCTGGACTGATCCTGAGCAGAGCTGCTTTTCTTCTGTGTGCTTTTTCAAAATTATATATTAATGGAAGCTTTTGTTGTGGGAATGCAGGGTGGGAGGGGAGATAAGGTGGGATAATTTCAATATTATTGAAACATTTGTACCGTGATTTAATGACAATGTTAATTTGATGGGCTCAACAATAGCCTTTGTTTGTACTATTATAACTTGTAGATTAATATGCATTTATAATCCTTTAATTAATCAATTTAAATTATGACTATTAGAATATTTGCATATATTACCTCAATTAATCCTAAAATCAATTTGCAGTTGAAGATTAAACAATACCTTTGTAATACCTAATAACTAAATATTATAATGCCAAAATAATATTAATTTTAATTAAATATAACATACACATGTTTTTTACTTTCATGATTCCGGTATTGTAAATGAGTTTAACAATCCAAGTTATTAGGTTTAAAATGTGATATACAGTATTTTATCTAAGCTTCTACCTCATCTTGCTCATTGTCCAAGATCCTGAGCACAGGTAATACTCTTCTATTGTAGAGCAATTTGTTTGTAAGATTATCTGCTGCATGAATCCAAATACTGTCTATTCTTAAACATATGAACTATTATTGAAACAATTTTAGCTAACAAACCTAAGTAGCATGAGTAAGAAATATGTTCACAATATACAGAACCTCATTAACGTGCTGTTTTCAGATTCAGGCAGCAGATTATTACAGTTTTGAATTAGTTATAATTATGTTGCTTTCTATCTTTTAGGAACGTATAACAAGGATCTGCCTTTTATGTTAATGGGCGGCTTGTCAATAATGGCTGGATTTTTCTGCTTCATTTTGCCTGAAACATATGGCCAGCGTTTTCCAGACACAATTCAGCAAGCACAACCAGTCAAATGGTAAGTAATTGAACAGGGAAGCGTATCAATGTGGGTTGATGGCTTGAGAGCTTTTTCCATTTCAGACCTGAAAACATATCCTGGTTGTTTCCCAAAACCTGAAATATTTATAACCCAGAATAATATTGATTCTATAAACTCAGGGATACTCACAATTCCCAAACTATCAATATATATTTCATTGCTATAGCACACTTAATACATAGAATTACAAGAAAGATACAGCAAAGTAACAGGTCATTCTGTCCATTTAGGCTGTGCTGGTGACAACTTATGTTGTTTAACAAGCCATTGAAATATTGGAATCTTTAGCTCAGAGGGCAACAACATAGATTAAGAAAGGTATTTTGCCTTGCATCTTGTTTATTTTCCCTTTTTCAAAGTAAATATTGATTTGTCCAGGGAAGAAACAGAGAAAGACTGAAAGATTAAATCCAGAACTTAAAAGACAAGAGGTGAAAACACCATTGAAAAGATCTTTAGGCTGGTTTGAAGGCCGGGGTGGGGTAATGAAAGAAGCAACTTGATTGAGAAGAGTCATATTCACAAATCTGTCTTAGATTTCTTTTTTATCAGCCAGGTGACTGATATATGTGAAAACTCATCACTCTGCTTATAAGTATCCAAAAATAGCTGGAGAATTCCACATATATATTGTGTAATATACTGATTGTCGGATATAACCATGCTCAATATACATTCATCTACAATTACACAGCCACAACAATTTACAGAAACTTTGTGAAGCATTTTAAGACATTTTGGTGCTATATCAAATGCAAGGATATTTAATATGATATGATGACTATGATAGAATGTGTTCTGACAATGTAACTTTCTTCTTTAAGTTGCTGGCCCTTTTCCCTAATGTGCCGTCAGAGGCCTCCTTCCTCCTTCGAGATATCTGCATCCCAGCAGAGACAATCTCAGAATGGCAACACTTTCTTGCATTCCCTCACAGCTGTCCAATGTACTGATGACATTACTGCCTAGTCCATCAAGTAAGTTCTCATTTCTCATTATTCCCTTTCCCCTTTTGTGCCTCTTGAAATGCTGAATGTCATTCCTGCAAAATTTAACATTTTCAGTCTCAGAATCAAACAATGTCAGGTGGGACATCTTGAAATGTGAAGTAAATCTCCCTTACTCTTTATATATATTAATGATTTGTATTCGCTGACGTAATGTAAATTAGTTCATTTTGCAGATGACACTAAATTGGGGGAAATGTGGAATCAGAGGAGGCAGCAAATGTCTTGGAAAGAGAGCTTGACAGGATGTACACATGGGCTGATAACTCCCAAATGAAGATTACTACAGATAAACACAAGGTGCTACATTTAGGAAGTAAGAATAGGAAACTTTTGTACTCCAAGGACAGGATAGAACTTGCGAAGGGGGAAGCTGGAAGTGATCTAGTGGTGTTGTTTGACTCCTCGCACACCATGTCAAAACAGTATAAACAAAGTAAATTGGCTTATTGATAAATCATTTGTGTTCAGTTGTCTGAGACATTACACTGAAACTATATAGTGCTCTAGTAAAGCTGCACCTGGCTAGACTGTACAGTTCTGGTCACTGTGACATAAGGAATGGGCTCATCAAGAGCCCTAAGAGCAATGCAGAAGATAGCAGCAAGGATGATCCACAATGTTAGAGGAATGATCTATAAGAAACAATTGGATAAACCAGGGTTTTTCAGTCTTGTATCAGATGGGATTTTATAGAGATGTATAAAATTTAAAATGTATGGTAAAAGTAAACTAAGAACAAAACTTTAGGATTCACCATGACAGTGAAACAAGAGAACATAGGTTTAGAGTTGCAATGAGCAATTTCAGGATAGATATCAGTTTTCATTTACCCAGATGGCAATTAATGACTGGAACAGGTTACCGGCAAAGGTGGTTGAGACAGGTACATTGAACTGAGTTTAAAAGAAGATTAAGGGTGGGTGGGTAGGGTGGGTATTTGAGAAGTATGAGATCAGATGGGCTGAAGGGTCTTGTTCAACCAAATATTCTGATGAATAGATGTTCAATCCAAGCACAGACATTTTCCGTTTCCCACTGATCTCCAAGGCTTTCTATCTCTAATGGACATGCTCAGCTAAGACTTGCCATTCTGGATAATGTTCCCATGAGATACAACATCAATTTTATCCCCAATATTATATACAATAATTTCCATTTATTTTGGTCTCCTAATGGTAATTTTTTATTTTATCAGATAACCCGTACTCTAACAAATGTTTAAAGACTTTAAAGAGGCATATACCTTCAGGGAAATATCTATGCCATTACTTTCCATGCAGTGAAGTAATATCAATAAAAGCATATTATGAGCCAGGTGTCAGCCTGGCTAGTTGGTAGGACTCTTGCCTCTGAATCAGAACATTGTGAGATCAAGCACCAACAATCCCCAAATAAAATTGATCATTCTCTTCGTGTCTGTTTGTGGGACATTGCCTTGTGCAAATGGCTACTATGTTCACCTACAAATACACAGTCAGTAAAGCCAGTCACTCCCCTGAGTCTCAGGGAAAGTATAGATTACATTACTAGTCAGGAACAGGACAGGGTGACTGACAGTCAGGAAGGTAAGGGGACCCCAGAGAGATTGGCGGAGAAGCCCCAGGCTTTAACCTTGTCCAACAGGTACGGGATACTTGCAACCTGTGTGGACAAGGAAGCCTGTGAGGAAGATGGGCAAACTAACTCCCAACATCTCTATACAGGAGGCCACAAAAGTGGGGGGTGAAAGATGGAATTCAGTTGTAATTGGGGACGAGACAGTCAGGAGGACAGACACACTTCTCTGCAGCTGCAACCAGGAGATACAAAGGATCTGTTGCTTTCCTGGGGCCAGGGTGAAGGAAATCTCTTCAAAGCTGGAGAAGAATTTGAGGCAGAAGGAGGAAGATCCAAGTGTGGTAATCTACATTGGCACCAACGATATAGGTAGTACTAGTAGGGACGACTTAAGGGGTGAGTTCAACGAATTGGGAATTAAATTAAAAAATAGAACTTCCAAGGTAATAATATTGGGATTACTGCCTGAGCCATGTGCAAATTGGTACAGGCACAAACAAATTAAAGAATTAAATGCGTGGCTGAAAAAGTGGTGCGGAGGGCAGGGGTTTCATTTTATGGGCCACTGGCACCAGTATTGGGGGAAAAGGGAGTTATTTCATAGAGATGGACTCCACCTAAACCGGGCTGGGACCAATGACCTGGAAGAATGAATAAATAGTGAGGTAGGCAGAGCTTTAAACTACTAAGGGGTGAGGGGTGGAGAGGGAAGGCTACAGTTAAAGTCTGAAGTAAACCAGCAAAACTAAGAAAGATGAAGGTGGTAAAGCAGAATAATGAGGGAGATAAGCAGAGTGTGTCTAGGAGGGACAAGAAGCTCAGAAAAGAAAATAGAGCATTAGCGAGTAGGGCAAATAGTAAGAAGTCAAAATTAAAGGCGCTGTATACGAATGCACGAAGCATTCGTAATAAGATAGACAAATTAATGGCAAAAATAGAAATAAATGGATATGATCTAGTAGCCATTACTGAGCCGTGGTTACAGGGAGATCAAGGGTGGGAGCTAAATATTCTGGGGTATTCGTCATATAGGAAAGTGAGGCAATGTGGAAAACAAGGTGGGAGGGTAGCCCCGTTAATAAATGATGGGATAAAAACAGTAAAGAGGAAAGATTTTAAATCAGAAAATCAGGACGTAGCTATGAAATAACAAGGGGTAGAAAACACTAGTGTGAGTAGTTTATAAACCCCCGAATAACAGTCACAGTATTGCACAGAGTATTAAGCAGGAAATTATTGGAGCATGTAGAAAAGGAAATGCACTAATAGTGGGTGATTTTAATTTTCATATAGATTGGGAAAACCAAATTGGCAAAAGTAAGTTACAGGAGGAGCTTATAGAATGCATTAGAGATAGTTTTCTCTATCAGTATGATGAGGAACCAACCAGGGAACAGGCGATCCTAGATCTTGTTTTGTGTAATGAAATAGGGCTAATGAGCAATCTGGAAGTCAAGGCTCCTCTGGGGCAGAGTGACCATAACATGATGGAATTTAACATTAAGTTAGAGAGTGATGTAGTTAAGTCTGAAGCAAAGGTCTTAAATTTAAATAGAGTCAACTTTGCAGGTATCAGAGAAGATTTAGCTAAAATACACTGGGGAATTAGATTAAAGGATATGACAGTAGACCAGTAATGGCAAACCTTTAGAGATATAGTACATAATTTCCAGCGATCACATATTCCCTTGTGGAATAAAAATACCATGGGAAAAATGGTTCAACCATGGCTAACTAGAGCAGTTAGGGAAGGTATAAAATTAAAAGAAGGGTCCTATAGTACAAAGCAGTAAACCCGAGGATTGGGAGGGCTTCAGAGACCAACAAAGAAAAACTAGAAAATGATTAGGAGGGAGAAAATGGATTATGAGGGCAAACTAGCTAGGAACATAAAGACAGACTGTAAGAGTTTTTACAAATACATAAAGAGGAAGAGACTAGCAAAAGTGAATGTGAGTACATTACAGGCAGAGACAGGAGGAATTATAATGGGGGATAAAGATATGGCAGAGTCATGAAACAAATACTTTGCTTTACATTAGAAGACATGGAAAACTTATCAAAAATAGAGGGGAACTAAGAAGCTAATGTTAGTGAGCAACTTAGGGAAATTAGAATCAGTAAAGAATTAGTACGAGGGAAACTGTTGGGATTGAAAAATTACAAATCCACTGGACCTGATGGCCTACATCGTAGGCTTTTAAAGGAGGTGGCTGCTAAGATAGTGGATGGCTTTTTTTGATCTTCCAAAATTCTCTGGATTCTGGAACAGTTTCCATTGATTGGAAGATCGCAAACATAACACCACTATTTAAGAAGGGTGGGAGAGAGAAGATGGGGATCTATAGACCAGTCAGTCTAACATCGGTGGTAGGGAAAATTCTAGAATCCTTAATTAGGGACGTCGTGGGGTACTTAGAGGACCATAACACGATTAAGCAGAGCCAACATGGCTTTACAAAAGGGAAGTCATGTTTGGCAAATCTTTCAGAGTTCCTTGAGGATGTAACTAGCAGGTTAGATAGGGGGGAACCAGTAGATGTGGTATATTTAGATTTTCAGAAGGCATTCGACAAGGTGCCACATATAAGGTGCTATACAAGATTAGGGCCCATGGAACTAAAGGCAATATATTAGCATGGATCAAAGAGTGGCTAACGGGAAGAAAGCAGAGAGTAGGGATAAATGGGTCCTCAGATTGGCGGGATGTGACTAGTCGAGTGCCACAAGGATCAGTGCTTGGGCCTTAACTATTTACAATCTATATCAATGATCTGGACGAGGACATAGAACTTAAAATATCTAAATTCACGGATGATACTAAGCTAGGTGGGAGAGTAAGCTCTGAGGATGACACAAAAAGATTGCAAAGAGATATAGATAGGCTAGGTGAGTAGACAGGAAGGTGGCAGATGGAATATAATGTGGGGAATTGTGAAGTTATTTACCTAGGTAGTAAAAGCAGAAAAGCAGATTATTTTCTAGAAGGGGAGAGATTAGATAGTGTTAGTGTTCAGAGGGATTTGTGTATCCTTGTACACCAGTCACAAAAAGTTAGTATGCAGGTACAGCAAGCAACTAGGAAGGCTAATGGCATGTTGGCGTTTATTGCAAAAGGGTTAGGATACAAGAGTACAGAAGTTTTGCTGCAACTGTATAGGGCCTTGGTGAGACCGCACCTAGAATATTGTGTGCAGTTTTGGTCTCCTTATTTAAGAAAGGACATACTCGCCTTAGAGGGGGTGCAGTGTAGATTCACTAGATTAGTTCCTGGGATGAGGGGGTTGACCTATGAAGATAGGTTGAGTAAACTAGGCCTATGTTCTCTAGAATATAGAAGAATTAGGGGTGATCATATAGAAACATATAAGGTTCTTATGGGGCTTGACAGAGTAGACAGTGTGAGACTGTTTCCCCTGGTTGGAGAATCTAGAACTAGGGGTCACAGTCTTAAGATTTAGAGACAGCCTTTTTGAACAGAGTTGAGGAAACACTCCTTCACTCAGAGGGTAGTGAATTTATGGAATTCTCTACCCCAGAAGGCTGTAGATGCTCAGTTCTTGAACATATTCAAGACTGAGATTGATAGATTTCTAAAGGACAGGGGGATTAAGGGTCATGGGGATAAGTCGGGCAGATGGAGTTAGGTTAGAAGATCAGCCATGATTTTATTGAATGGCGGGGCAGGCTCGAGGGGGTGAATGGCCTACTCCTGCTCCTAATTCCTATGTGTCCTATATAAACTTTACACTGAATCCTGTGAGGTACCTTGAGACATCCTCCTGAAATGAAAGGTACTATTACAAATACAAGGATCATTATTATTATAATCTCCATTATATTTCACATCTAATTAATTTCACTATTTTCACCCTCCAAAGTTTTTGTGTGAAGTTAATGTAGTCCTCAGTGGCTGTGCAAAAATAGAGTTGCCTATGAAGAGTAAGAGCCATTGCACAAGAAATAGCAATCACCCAAAAAATATCAGCTATACAGTAGTAACATGGTGATACAGTATTTAATTCCAATAGATCTTTCATTGTGTGCTAATAGGTTTTCATCATAGCATACCGGATTTAATTGGATTTGTTGTATTTTATAGGCTTCTGATTTTGCAGATGGAAATGGACATTATCACTGTGTACAGGCAACTATGAGAAGCTGAAAAGGAACAATGTTTGAACTTCAAGTTGTTTTCTGGAATGTTAAAAAATGCTAACAAAGTGAATTGCTAAATCATACAATAAAGTGAAAGCAAAAAGCCTTAAAATCTCACTGAACATACAATAATTTTTTTGGTCAGCCAGGTGACACATGCAGAAACCCATCACCATGCTTATCGGTATTCCATGCATCCCACCTTCACATAGAAATTACAGAAATAGATTGTTGGACTGGAATGCTCACTCTCTCCCTGGAAGGATACATTCTGCTTAACTAATTCAAGAAAGTATTAGATGCAGGTTGGCAAGAGTGAAGGTTTGGGGACCCCAGAGTGTCCGTTAGGGTCCTGCTGGAGTCTAACCAGCTAAAACCGCATAGTCCGCATAATACTGCGGACCCGTCTGTCTCAGGAACCTCCTATTGATATTGCTGTCCAGCAAGCTTGTCCGCTGCTTGTCCAGGTAGGACCACTCTACCCATTAGCACTTTGGCTTGCAGGATTAACAGGAGCCGAGTGCGATGATTCAGTGCCCCAGTGACTGGTCTGCCCTTCCATTTCCCTCCAATAAGCCAGGCTGGCTGTGCTATCATCAGCAGTGCTCTGGAATACCGCAGACCCGTCTGACTCAGGAACCAGACTAATGAGACCACCACAGAGGGCTGGCGTGATGCCGACATTCCATTACCAAATGTGTCACTTTGGAGACAGTTCAGCTCCAAGGAGACCCCACTTACTTCCCCCCTCCACCACCCCTCCCAAAGTGGATAGTCACTAGTTAGTTATTTGACATCCCATCCAACAAGCACAGATTTGATCCCTCATTAGGTGGATACCAAGTACCAGGAACTCCCTGCAAACTTCCTGGTGGGCAACACAGCTCAGCATGAAATGCGTGAGAGCATTGCCACCATCTTCCTGTCTGTAGTTTGGGCACGTCCCTTCCCATTGAGCAATGTTTCCAGCAGTTGGAGGTACAGAGGTTAAGCAGCAGCTGTTGGCTGCTTTGCCGGCCAATCAAGGTGGATTCCAGGTGCTGGTCATACTAACGTATGTTCATGAACTCGGACTCCAGATAATGCCTTCCAGCAGCTGTTGCCCCAAGCCTCATGGACAATGCTGTTCTCATCAGCTATATAGCAGGGGTCTGCTTCTGGCATAGTGGGAGGACCCTTACAGGACAGCCACCTTGATGTTCTTGAGGTCCAAGTGAAATGTTGTGTAACAGGTTTATTCAGCACCAGTTTAAATCAGGTCCTCATGTAAGTGGCCTTGGCAAATAGATGTGACCGCTGTGAAGCTGCCTCTGTCTCCAGGGTGATTAGCAACAGGTCAGTCTAGGTTGGAAACCCTCCCACCCTGTAGCCACTTCCCATGTTTGCCACAGATCCACCACACTTTTTGATCCTGGAGTTTGCAGATGGATTGGAGGAAACCTCGTCACTGCATCCCCAGAAGCTCAGATCCATAAAGGAGGATTGTTTGCACATAGGTCTTGTATGCCGCAAGCTTGACCTACATTGGGACCTTGCTGTCCTTGAAGAGGGATGAGAATGACCAGAGTGCTCTTCACTGCTTCTCAGCGCAATCCTTCAGGACAGTGTCCAGGCAAAAGTTGGTGTCCACCACGACCCCAAGGTACCAATAAGAGTCAACAATTGAGACTGATGCTCTTAAGGCTAAGGGGAAACCCACTTACATTGGTTTATTGACTTCCACAAGGCTTTCAACTTAGTGCCACATGAGGCCCACATGATGAAACATACAATATTCAATTGAAAATCAATCATGGCTTGAAATTACATAAATGTGTTTCATATGTCATGTAACAATATGCCTCATTTCAAAAAGGCAATGTATAAGGAATCCATTTTTTCATCAATGTTCAATCGCATATACAATTTCCACTTCAAAGTATTACAATTGCAGTTCGCAATTCATGTTGAAACTTGTGTTGCTGTCTTGCAGCCTTACAGGTTATTTTGGTTCATTTCCTCAAACTAATTAGCTAGTTTTACGTCATGATATATTTTTTGTACACTCTGAAGAGATAGATACAAATGCAACATCAAAAGAGTGGCAGTAATTTGCTCTGGATAATTGGGAAAATGGTCAAAATTCATCTGTTTTTCATAAAGGATTGTTTTCCAGGACTAAGTATATTGCCCTTTGTGACAACCACACCGATTTCAGCTTGCCTAATGGGAGCAGAAGTGGAAACATAGGTTTGACTTTATTTTAAAAGTCTTGAGTAAGGGCAGAGATTAGAAGATTTTTATTCCATGAATTATTGGTTGTATGAAACAAATAGTTGGTGCCTCAGAGAGTCACTCCTTCAAGACTAAATTGGATAATTATCTACTTCAGAAGAGTATTGGTGGATATTGAAATTGGTGCGGACAGAAGTATTTCAAGGGCTAGATTTTACAAAAAAGCATTGGGCGAGTTGAAAGGAACAATTCCACTGACACAGAGAGTGGTTCTTCATCTGCTAGCTATTATTAAAGGTTTCTTAATTTGCACAAAAAATGTTCTAGAATAGCTGCAAATCTTATTTAATCTTACCCACTTCTCTCTCACCACCACGATAACCCGTATAAAGTCCACTACCTGCTCCCTCGAACCCATCCTTAACCCTCTGCTTACCTCCCAGCTCCATCTCCTTGCCTATCTACTATCTGATCTCATCAACACCTCCCTGTCAACTGGCACCATTCCCACCCCCCTAAAAACAGCTGTCATCATTCCATCCTAAAAAAAATCTTCCCTGTCTCATTAACAACTGCCCCATTTCCAACCAAGCTCCTTGAAAAAGTTGTTGCTTTACTCCTTCCTCTCCTGCCACTCCCTCTACGAATCCCTGCCCACAGAATGGAAACAGCCCTGGTCAACGTGACAAATGACATCCTGTCCATTTGTGACTAGGGCTCCCTCTGTCTCCTCGACCTCTCTGCTGCCTTTCACACTGAGGACCACTCTATCCTCCTCCACCACCTCTCCTCTCACCTTAACCTTTAAGATTCTGTCCTTGAATGATTCAGATCCTATCTCTCACACCAACTCCACTTTGTCTCCACAAATGGCTTCTCCTTTAGCCACTGTAAAGTCTCGTGCAGTGTTCCTCAGGGCTCTGTCCTTGGTTCTCTCCTCTTCAACCTGTACATGCTCCCTCGGTGACATCATCCGCAGATATGGAGTCAACTTCCACATGTACACGGATGACACCCAACTCTATCTCTCTGCCTCCACCCTCGACCCCAAGACCACTGATGTCCTGACAAACTGTCAGTCAAACATCAAGTCCTGCATGAGATCCAACTTTCTACAGTTGAATGTCAGCAAGACTGAAGCCCTCCTGATTGACTCAGGCCAGCGCCTCCGCACCTCAGACACTGGCATCATCAGCATTCAAGGATGCACACTCCACCTCACCAAACCAGTCAGGAACCTGGGCATCTTGTTCGACTCCCAACTGTCTTTTCTCCCCCACATCAGTGCCATGACCCACTCCACCTTCCCCCACCTCCACTACATTGCCTGACTCCGCCACTGGCTCACCCCTCAGGCCACCGAAACCCTCATATATGTCTTCATTACAACCAAGCTTGACTATCCCAATGCCCTGCTTGTCGGCCTTCCCAACTCTTCCCTCCACAAGCTGCAGATCACCCAGAACTCTGCAGCTTGTGTCATCTCCTGCACCAGGCTTCGTGACTCCATCACACCCACGCTCGCCCGGCTCCACTTACTCCTGATTCCTCAGGGGATCAGGATCAAAATTTTCATCCTCACCCTCAAAGCTCTACATGTCCTTGCCCCTTCCTTCCTCTCCGACTTGCTAACCCCTTATTAACCGTCCACTCTCTCCACTCAGCAGGTTCTGATCTGCTCCATGTCCTCCGCCTGGCCCGCCCCACCATCAGCGGTAGGGCCTTCTGCCTCTCGGCCCCCACCCTCTTCTTTTCCACATTCCTTTTGCCTCGCTCCCTCCCTTGCTTTCTTGAAGGTATGCCTCAAGACCCTCCTCTTCAACCGTGTCTTCGCCACCCTCTTACCCTCCTTGCCCTCCACCCTCCCTGATCCCAACCCCTGCTCGGGTCCTAATCCCTGACAGTTCAGTAGGATGTCTTCCCAATGTGAAAGGCTTTACAAATGTAATTTTGGATTGTATTTTGTATTGCATTATTCAGAGAAGCTGTAAAAATAGCTTTGTAGGATTTAGAATTATAACTTAATTCAAGAACATTCCAAACTATTGCATGATTTCTAATTCTAAGATGATGGGTGAACCAGGCGATATTTCACTAACAAAGTGAAAGTGAGAATTATTGCATCAAATCTGTTTTGCAATGTATTTTATTTCCATTTATCTTTTAAGAATGGTAGTGCGACAACCCCTTCTTCTGACACCCACATATTGGCTTCATACTATTTGTTTTTGTGGAGTCCTGTAGCTCTGCGGTTAGAGCGCTCACCTTGCAAGCGAGAGACCTGGGTTTGATTCCTGGCAGGGCAAAACCATGGCCAAAACCTTACTCCACATGCTTGATAATAATCCCTCAAAAAAAACAATTAATAAATTGGTCACTTCATTGCAGGACTGTTTGTGGGACACTGCTGTGCACAATTGGCTGCCGTTTTTTGCTCACAAATATAGAGTCAAGTCACTTTACAGTATATTCTGTGAAGCGCTTTGAGATGTACAAAAGATGTGAAAAGCGCTATATCAAATGCAAGAATTATTTATTTATTTATTTTTTAAAAAAAAAAAAAAATTTACCAGCCTGTGGGAAGCCAGTTGACTCTGTTTTTTAATTCTGGAAGCAGAATTTGAATTTTAGAGATACTCCTTGAATGAGTCAAATGTAATGTGCGATGGAGTTCCAAAAGGTGGGCCAGAAAGGTCTGACCGCCGATGGTGGGGCAAGCCAGGTAGTGGACGTGGAGCAGGCAATAGCCTGCTAAGCGAAGGGAGTGGACAGGTTGATATGGGGTCAGTAAGTTGGAGAGGTAGGGAGGGGCAAAGCCATGGAGAGCCGTGAAGGCAAGGACGAGGATTTTGAACTCTATCCTTGGGGAATGAGGAGCCAATGGAACCAGGCGAGGGAGGGTGTTATGGGGTCATGGAGCCTGGTACAGGAGAGGACATAAGCTGAAGAGTTGTGGATGATTTGCAGCTTGTAGAAGGAGGAGTTGGGACGGCTGAAAAGCAGGGAGTTGGTGTAGTCAAGCCCAGATGTGATAAATGCATGGATAAGGGTTTCAGTGGCCTGAAGGGTGAAGCAATGGCAAAACTGAGTGATGTTGTGGAGGTAGGCAGAGGGGGTCGTGGCATGGGTGTGGGGAAGAAAGGATAATTGAAAGTCAAACAAGACGCCAATGTTCCGGACTGGCTTAGTGAGGTGTAGTGTGCAACTATGGATGGTGATGCTGTCAGTGCCTGATGTGTGGAGGAGCTGACGGGAGCCAATCAGAAGGGCCTCAGTCTTGTTTACATTCAATGGTGAAAAGTTAGCTGTCATCCAGGACTTGATGTCTGTCAGATATTCTGTCAGGACAGCACCGGTCCTAGAGTCAAGGGTGGAGGCAAAGAGGTGTCATCCGTTGACCCCATGTCTGCGGATGATGTCACCAAGAAGGAGCATATAGATATTGAAGAGGAAAGGACCAAGAACAGAGCCCTGAGGAACACTTCACAAGACCGTGTGGGGGCTTTAAAGGAGAAGCCGTTTGTGGAGATGAAGTGGAAGTGGTGTGAGAGGTACAATCTGAACCATTGAAGGTTGAAGTGAGAGGAGAGGCAGTGGAGGAGGATAGAGTGATCAACGGTGTCAAAGGCAGCAGAGAGGTCAAGGAGGACAAAGAGGTAGAGGGAGCCCTCGTCGCAAATGGACAAAATGTAATTTGTCACTTTGACAAAAGCTGTTTCTGTGCTGTGCACAGCATGAAAACCTGATTGGAGGGGTTCGTGAAAGGATTGGCGGGAGAGGTAGGAGCAAAGCTGGGAAGCAACAACTCGAAATGTAAACATGTTATTTCTGTTGTCTTTTACCTTTAAAACCTGAATTTAAATTTAGCACAGGCTGATCAGGTTAATGTTTCCTTTCTTTAGGGGAATGTAAGATCAGCGAATTTAGTTTGGAAAGTGTGAGTCAGTTTCACGTTTGACTTGAGGGCCACGACATCTTAGTTTGAGGCCCAATGGTAGCTTTACAATTTGGATGTGACAAAAATTGTTCAATTGTCAAACCACAAAATAATTTGCCTATTTCATAATTATGAATACAATTGGTAATCTCGAGTCAAGGGTGGAGACAGAGAGGTATAGTTGGGTATCATCCGCATACATGTGGAAGTTGACCTCATTACCAATTTACCACATAATTATGAAACAGATATATTTCCATTGCTGAACTTCAATACAATCTCATCAGCCTAGATTGTATGCTCAAATTCTGATGTGAAGCTTGAGAGCACAACTTTCTGTCCCTGAAATAAGATTGCAACCAAAATGACATCTGGTTTTATTTCAGAAGCATGAAAATCCACCCTGTTTTATTTCTAGAACCACTCTCTTAAAATTTAAGATTGTGAAAAAGTTCAGACTTCATTTAGAAGCCTGTTTGTGGGCTGTTGCTGTGCTCAAAATTGCCTGCAGGGTTCAGCCATAATAAAAATCAGTCACTGCACTTTACAGTACAGTACATTACAGTACAGTTTGAAGCACTTTGGGACATACTTCTGACGTGAAAGGCACTATACTAAATGTAAGTATTATTATTATCCTTTCCCTTATTCCTTAATCATAGATGTCTTTAGATATCAGTTGTCTGGAGAGGGTACAACAACTGCAGACCAATTGATTTATGAGGTCAGCAACCTGACTTGTGAAGAGATACCAGCATTACTGACACAATAGAATATGGGGTGATCTTATTGAAGATTCTTAATGCTATTGGATAAAATGAAGTCAAATAACCTATTTGATATGGTTAAGAATTTCACACAATCTAGTGCTTGAGTGGGTGTGTGGTGTGCACGTGAGTGTGTGTGTGCAGGGGGAGGAGGAGACAAAGCGAGAAAGAGGTTAAACCAGAATAATTTTACAGAGGGTGGAACAAGTAAGTATGTGTGGAATGTACTGTAAAGTGAATTGATTGTATATTTTGTGGGTGAAACGTGGCAGCCAATTGCGCACAGCAGTGACCCACAAACAGTTGTGGATTGAGTGACCAAAATTTCTCTTTTAAGGGATTATTACCCTCGGAAAAGCGATCTGCCAGTTGACTAATAATCGGGTTCCTACTTACTGCTGGGTAAGCAGAGGCATGTGGAGTAAGGAAACTTGACCAACGTCTTGCTCTGCCTGGGAATCAAGTCAAGGTCTTCTCGCTTGGGAGGCGAGAGGCTTTAACCACGAAGGTACAGGACTCCATCATGTTGTCCCACCCTAAAGTTCTTAATCTTCCAAAACACATGGCTGAGTGTGATTACAATGCAAGCATTATGGATAGGATTTCTGGTAGGTTATGAGGATTATATCAGGCGGCAGGTAACTACTACAGTATCAAGACAGACTGGGTAGGTTAGGCATTTATTTCAGTAGAGAAGAAATGTTTAAGTGGGGACTTAATCGAAGTGTTTAAAATTATAAACTGGTTTGATAAGGTTAACATAAATGAGGTGTTTCCACTGCTGGGGCATCTCTAACCAAGGGACACAAATATAAGATCACAACTAGGGGATGTACGAGAGAATTTATGAGGAATTACTTCATGCAGAGGATAGTGAAATTGTGGAATTTGCCTGAAGCAATGATTGAATCAGATAGTATACAATCACTCAAGAGGAACAGTGAGGGAGAATGGAATAGAAGGGTGTGGGAGGGAGGGAGAAATGGTTGGTGGCTCATGTGAAATGCATTTATTGATTGGGCCAAGTAGCCTGTGTCCAAGCTGTACATTCTTTGTAAATCATTGTAATTCCATACTATAGAGCAGAGCAGGTTCAAATGTTTATTGACATTTTAAATGAAGGATTACTAAATATAGGTTGCACAATGTTTTCTAATGCCAAACATATGAGAGTGGTATGAACATGTCTGTGCAGATTTCACAATGAAATGTGAGCTTGTATTTAAGTCATGAGAAAAGTGCAACTGCACTTTTCCCATGGGATCTAATTTAAATGCCAGGACACGCAGTGTGCTACGCCCCACTACACACCTGTACACAAAGTGTGCTAGTCGACAGGCCTCTCGCACTGTTTGCTCGATGTTGTTGCTGAGGGTGGAGCAGCTCCGGTCGCACATGTGTGGGACAGGGAATGTTGGGATTGCAGAAGCGTCGCAAGCAGAAAACCGGCTCTGCCCAGCTCACGCAGCCTAAACTGAGTTCCTGGAACCAATTCTTGGTAATTGCTGTACTATTCAAATTGATATTTTTAGCATTTTAAACACAACCACATGTTCAGGAAACATATGCCTATAGTTTTAATCCAGGTTGTTTCCTAAAATGCATCTCTCAATTGCACCAATCAAGCCTCCGCAATTCTCTGCAATATTTATCAAACATCTCTGTGATTTTGCGCAAAAGTTGTCCAATGTCCTGCAATTTGGGGCAAATATTTCTGCCCTTTTCTATTGGCCCAGGTCATACGTCATGTACTTCATGGTTAACACAGAACCGCTTTGAGATATTTTGCCATTAAAAGGCACTATATAAAATTGGTCATCTTCACACATATCTTGAAATCCATGGCTCACAGTTAAAAAGTTGTAAAGCATTAGTTATCTTGCAGATTTGAAAATCACATAGTGGGCAGGAGTAAAAGAAGAGTGGTGTGCAATTGCTTCCCCTCCCCCCAATGTATTTTGAATTCTATTGTGGAGTTCTGAGCTCCTACACTTTACAAAGATGGGAGCAGACAGTGTAAAATGTAAGTTAATCCGGAGTGTATTCTGTAGTTGATACATGTGGATGCTGAAGTTTTAAGTACTCCCAGACACCACTCGCATGAAGGGTCATATATAAATGCAAGTAGTTATTGTAGACAACAGATAACTCAGATTCCATAGAATGGTGGAACAAGCTCAAGGAGCTAAATGGCCTACTCCTGTTCCTATGTTGTTCACTTTGGCTGATCCTGAGTCCAGTTCCTGAGCCAGCCGAGTCCTCAGTAGATGACAGCACAACCAGCCTGGCTCATCTGCAGGACTTGGCAGGGCAGACCAGTCAATGGAGGCAGGGCCACTTCCCATTCAGTTCCTGTTAGCCCTGCAAGCCAAAGCCCTAATGGGTAGGATGGACCTAGCTGGACAAGTAGTGGAAATTTTGCCAGCTAGGTGCTTTTAATGGTAAGCCATGTGGTTTTAGCTGGTTAGACTCCATTAGTAACACTCTGGGGTCCCCATGCCTTGTCTCTTGCCAATGTGCTCCTAATACTTTCTTGAATTAGGTTTCTGTATGTGTCAAACACCTGGCTCACCAAAAAAACAATAACATGAAAATAAAACTTTGATGAGATACATTTGTCTGTCTGAGTGTATGTGAATGGATATATAAGTGACAAGTTCAAATGTTTTACACAACTGAAGATTGAGCATGATGATATTTGAGAATGAAGGAAAAATTACAAAAGCAGATCAAAGAAAAGAATAGATAGCACTTATTGTGACTCTAAGTGTGCACTGTGAAGTATTGAACCAGTAGAGATTGTCCTTCCCACTGCATATGGTTTCAGCAATTAGACTGTCAGCAGTCCTTGCAGTTGTTTAAAAATTGGGCGGAAACATTTTGGGCAAAACAGGGACCAATCAAGTCTCTATAAATCTTAGGGGAGTGTACAGCTTTAGAAATAAGTGCCTTGTAGTTTTCAGATTCTTTTCCAGATATCGAATGAACTCACACAGCCACATTGCAAACACAGATCTGGTTGGTCTATTGACTCATACACTAGGTACAGGTATTACTGTGTGATACGAAGACTCATTTTCAAATTGATCTTCAAACTTCCTAATATTGTGCTTCATATAATTTATTTGTTCTCACCGAAGCAAGAACTACAACACTTTGAACTGAATTTATCAGAATACTGGATGAAACTTTTTTTTGTTTCCAAAGAGCACACATTGGAAAGTTAAGCATTGAGTGTACAAGAAAGGTTATAATTTGGTAAATGGAAAAGAATATGCAAGATTATGGTGAAGCAACTGATTTTCTGGGAGAGTGGGGACCCTTCCAGAAAACTGTTTTCCTTTTGTTAAGTGTGACCATCATCCCAAATGGTTATGTGGGTCTGTCCATGGTGTTTCTGGCAGACATCCCTCAGCATCACTGCCGTCTGCCTAACTCTCTGAACGGAACCACTGGAGAAGCCAATCTGAGTTCACTGCTGCCTGTAGAGGAGGTGGATGGTGAGATGATCTACAGTCAATGTAGAAGATACAAAACTCCTGTAACAGACGGTTTAAATGACACAACACGTGAGACTGAGCCCTGTGTGGATGGCTGGGAGTACAGCACTGACAGGTACATCTCTACTATTGTCTCTCAGGTAAGAATTGTGAATGTTATTATCAACTTGGAGATTCAGGAAAAATATTTACTCAGTGCAAGTCAGAGGTCAGTAAATATCTGTCAGTAAATATTGGCGGATTAGGCAATCGGGGTCTGCTTGGAGCTGAGCTGGGTCTACTTGAGAATAAAGTATCAAAATCAATACATTCCCCTGTCTTGGCAGTCTTCAGTACTCCAAGCACAGTTTATGACAAACCAGCCTGGCTGGTTTATCAGCAAGAATTGGAGAGACAGACAAACCATAAGGGGCATAAATTCTTAGCCACTTAGCTCTTGTTAACCCTGTAAGACAAAGTCATCATAGTTGCATGTGCAGGAATGGGAAATTTACAGTGTTTGTAATCTTACTTCAGGAACAGTGTTGACCATGGTGATGGGATTACGCATGTATCAGTCAACAACAACAAATTATATTTCTATAGCACCTTTCGCATCGGGAGGACATACCAAGGCGCTGGACAGTCAAGGATTTGATAGAATCATAGAATGCTACAGCACAGAAGGGGGCCATTTGGTCCATCATGGCTGTGCCAGCTTTTTGAAAGAGCTATCCAATCAGTCCAAACCTCCAAACCCTAGCAATTATTTATTTTCAAGTACATATCCAATTCCCTTTTGAAAGTTTATTATTGAATCTACTTCCACCACCCTTTCAGGCAATGCATTCAGATCATAACAACTCGCTGCGTAAAAATAAAATCTACTCATCACCTTTCTGGTTCTTTTGTCAATTATCTTAAATCTGTCTCCTCTAGTTACCGATCCATCTGCCAGTGGAAATTGTTTCCTCTTATGTACTCTATCAAAACTCCTGATAATTCTGAATACCTCTATCAAATCTCCCCGTAACCTTCTATGCTCTAAGGAGAACAATCCCAACTTCTTTTGTCTCTCCACATAACTGAAGTCCCTCATCCCTGGTACCTTTCTGTAAATCTCCTCTGGACCCTCTCCAAGGCCTTGATATCCTTCCGAAAGGTTGGTGCCCAGAATTGGATACAGTACTCCATTTTTGAGGCCTCGCCAGTGATTTATAAATGTGTAGCATTACTTCCTTGCTTTTGTATTCTGTGCTTCTATTTATAATGCCAAGGATCCAATATGTTTTTTTTAACAGCTGTATCCACTTGTCCTGCCACCTTCAAAGATTTGTATAAATTAACCCCCAGGTCTCTCTGTTCCTGCACCCCTTTAAATTCTACCATTTAGTTGTATAATTGTACCATTGGACTTGAGTTGGGGGTTGGGATCAGGAGGGGTGGAGGGCAGGGCGGCTAGGGGTAGGAGAGTGATCAAATGCACGGCTGAAGAAGCGGGTCTTGAGAAGGCCTTGAAGGAGGTAAAGGAGGGAACAAGGTGAAGGAATGGAAAGATGGAATTCCAAAGACTCGAGGCAGATTGGCTGAAGGTCTGACTGCCGATGGTGGGGTGGGCCAGATGGAGGACATGGAGCATTCTGGAGGCTGCTGAGTGGAGGGAGTGGACAGGTTGATATGGGGTTAGCAGTTCACAGAGGTAGGAAGTGACAAGGCAGTGGAGTGCCTTTGAAGGCGAGGATGGGGATTTTGAATTCTATCCTCTGAGGATTTGTAGGCGAGTGAGGGGATCAGTGACAAGAAGTAGAGGAAGTGGTCTTGGTTAGGATCCGAATTTGGGGGGCTAGGATATCTGACGATCGAATGCCTAGATTATGTACAAGTCTTAGAGAAAGGCCGAGGAACTTGAGGAGGTCAGATCCACAGGACAGAAGACATTGACGGGAGTCAAGGATTATGGCTTCCGACTTGTCGATGTTCAGCTGCAGGAAGTTTGCATTCATCCACACCTTGATGTCTGACAGACAAGCTGACAGAATATCAGCGGACCTGGAGTTGCAGCTGGTTGAGGAGAAATAGATTTGGGTGTCATTCGCAAACATGTGGACGTTTAACTCATGTCTGTCGATGACATTGCCAAGAGGGTGCATATAGATGAGAAAGAGAAGGGGGCCAAAAATGAAGCCCTGGGGTGACTGAGAGGAGCGAGAGGAGAAAATGTTTGTGGAGACAAAGTGATGGTGGTTAATTAAGTAGGACTTAATCCAGGCAAGCGTGTAAATCAGAGAGATTCGGAAGAGACTACCAAAATATTGGTGCATTTTTTACAAGCAATTTTATTTATTATTTATTATATTCAGCCAACAAACACAAAGATAACCTACACAAAGATTAAAGTGGTAGTTTTACAGAGAACAACAACAACAACAAGATTCCACTTATAGAGCGCCTTTCACATCGGGAGGACGTCCCAAGACACTGTACAGTTGGGTCAGGACCCGAGCAGGGGGGAAATGGTCAGGGTGAGGGGAGGGAAGGGAGGGAGCGAGGAGGGGGTAGAGAGTCAAGAGGGGAGCTGAAGGCCCGGTCAAAGAGAAAGGTCTTGAGAACGGCTTTCAAGGAAGAAAGGGAGGAGGCGGCGAAGGCACTGGGGGATGGAGTTCCAGAGCTTAGGGGATGAGAGGCTGAAGGCCCGACCACCGATGGTAGGGCGGTTGGGGCGGGGGATGTGGAGCAGACTGGAGCCAGAGGAACAGAGGGTACGGGCAGGTAGGTAGGGGGATAGTAGGTCAGAGAGGAAGGAGGGAGCGAGGCCGTGAATGGCCTTGTAGGTGAGGATGAGGATCTTGAATTCGATCCTCTGGGGGATGGGGAGCCAGTGGAGGCGAGCGAGGGTGGGAGTGATGTGGTCGCGAAGCCTGGTGCGGGACAGTACACGAGCTGCAGAGTTCTGAATGACCTGCAGCTTGTGGAGGGAGGTGCCGGGAAGGCCGGCGAGGAGAGAGTTCCCATAGTCCAGCCTTGAGGTGATAAAGGCGTGGACCAGAGTTTCAGCAGCGTGAGGGGTGAGGTAGTGCCGTAGTCTGGCGATATTCCGGAGGTGATGGAAGGCGGTGCCAGTTGTGGCGCGGATATGGGGGAGAAAGGACAGCTCAGGGTCGAACAGAACCCGAGGTTCCTGACTGGCTTTGAGAGGTGGAGAGTGCAGCCTTGGATGCTGATGCTGTCAGCGCCTGAGGTGCGGAGGCGCTGACGTGAGCCAATCAGGAGGGCCTCAGTTTTTCGCACGTTGAGCTGAAGAAAGTTGTCTCTCGTCCAGGACTCGATGTCGGACAGGCAGCTGTCAGGACATCGGTGGTCGTGGAGTTGAGGGTAGAGGAGGAAAGGTAGAGTGGGGTGTCATCCGCATACATGTGGAAGTTAACCCCATGTCTGCGGATGATGTCACCAAGGGGGAGCATAGAGAGGGTGAAGAGGAGGGGACCGAGGACAGAGCCCTGAGGGACACCGCACGAGACAGTGCGGGGGATGGAGGAAAAGCCATTCGTGGAAACAAAGTAAAGACGGTGGGAGAGGTACGACCTAAACCACTCAAGGACAGGGACTTGAAGGTTGAGGTGGGAAGACAAGCGGTGGAGGAGGATAGCATGGTCGACCGTATCGAATGCTGCCGATAGGTCGAGGAGGACGAGGAGGCAGAGGGAGCCCTGGTCACAGATGGTCAGGATGTCATTGGTGACCTTGACCAGGGCAGTTTCTGTGCTATGGGCAGCACGGAAACCCGACTGAAGGGGTTCGAATAATGAATGGGTGGAGAGGAAAGAGCGCAGCTGGGAGGCGACAACTCGTTCCAGGACCTTGGACAGGAAGGGGAGGTTGGAGATGGGCCGGTAGCTTGATAGCTGCGACGCATCAAGGGAGGGTTTTTTCAAGGTGGGAGTGATGGTGGCAGTTTTTAAGGGAATGGGAACAGAGCCAGAGGAGAGGGACAGGTTGACGATGTCTGTGATATGTGGGGCAAGGAGGTGGAGCTGGGAGATAAGGAGTGGAGTGGGGATGGGGTCAAGGGAGGAAGTGGTGGGTTTCAGGGATAGGATGTGTTTGGTGACAGAGGGTGGGGAAACAGCTACGAAAGTGTGTAGGGAAGGATGGGTAGGAGTCGGAGTGTGGGAGGGAGGGGGTGGGGGGGTGGGTGGATGTTGGAGGGGAAGTGACCGCGGAGCGAATTCCCTTGATTTTGGATTCAAGGAAATCCAGCATCTCCTCGCAGTGAAGGTTGGAGGAGATGACCTGCGCGGGGTGGCGGGGGGGACGGAGGATTCGGGATGTGGTAGAAAACAGTAGCCTGGGGTTGTTCTTCGCCTCCAGGATTATCCTGGAGTAGAAGGATGATTTGGCCGAGGCTAGAGTGGAGCGGTAGATTTTGAGGAGGTCCAGCCAGATTTGTCAGTGGACCGTTAGGCCAGATTTGACGCAGGTCCGTTCAGCGGCCCGCACCTGGCTTTTCAGTGAGCAAAGGTTGGTGGTGAACCAGGGGGAGGAGCGAGAGTAGGAGACAGTACGGGAGGTGATGGTGGCAAGAGCATCGAGTGTGGAGGAGAGGGTGTTGTGGAGGAGGGTGAGAGGAGAAGAGGGTTCAGTGAGGGTTGAAGGCCAGAGGGATAGAAGTTCAGAGGACTCCAAGGCAGCAGTTAGGGATTGTGGGGGTAACTTCTTCCAGGGGCGGTAGAAGATGGTGGTGGGTCTGGTGGAGGTTGGGAGGGGGGTGGAGATGATGAAGGAGATGAAGTGGTGGTCGGAGAAGGCCTTGTCGATGATAGTGACATCCGAGACACTGAGGCCCCGGGTGATCACGAAGTCGAGTGGGTGGCCGTGACTGTGAGTGGGGGAGTTGATGTGGAGGGAGAGTTGAGCGAGGAGAGCAGGGAAGAGAAGTCTGAGGAGATGGAGCAGGAGGGGATGAAGTGCAGCTTGAAGTCACCCAGGTTGATGAGGTGATCAGAGCAGAGGCAGAGAGATGTAAGACGTGTCAAAATATCGGAGATGAAGGTGGGAGAGGTTTTAGGGGGCCAGTAGAGGAGGAGGATTTTGAGCGAGAGGAAGGAGGGGTGGGAGAGGGTGAGGTGCTTGAAAGAGGGGAAAGAGCCAGAGAAATAGGAGG